CAATTTAGTCTGTGTGCTGCAGGCTGTAAGTTTGGAAATAAATGAAATACAGGCCAGTGAGATAAGTAAAAATCAAATTGAACGACATTCGTCATATCCTCATCTCTGCTCAAGTTCAAAAGCTAAATGCGTACTTGTGTACTTTAGCTAGCATGACACAACTGTCAGCAGCAGATCTGCATGCAGAAGCTGAGCTCAGAGTTTTGATGAGGCAAGAAAAAATGAAGAATAAAAATGTCAATTTTGCTTTAACTTTAGCCTATTTTACCATCAAATTTGACTCTTGACAATCTTATATGATCGAGTTTGTCCCTAATTATGCGCCAAAGTAAGCAAAAACTGTAAAATGTTTAGCAGATTACTCCAGGCTGCTCGGGAGGTTCCTGCAGCTGACAGTCAAAGATCAGATGGTGGTGAACAATAGACATTCCAGCCTTGTTATGGAAGAGTGGACCAGCTTTGTGTTCTTGCAAGGATACTGAGGGTTCATGGGAGTTCAACCACTCAGTCTCCATATGTGTTGTAGACTTGGAGAGAGCTTATAACTGTGTCCCCTTGAGTTTCTTCGACTGGGGTTACTTTTGTGATATTAAATGTTGGGGTACAAGGCTATTGGGATACGTTGGGTTATTATTTCACATAGTAAAGGCCTGCGACTCTCTGCTGAAAGATGGTGAATTTCACTTTCCTTTTAAGGTTCTGTAGGTGTGATGTAGATGAGTGACTGTGGGATGTCTGATCTGTAGCAGATGTCTGGGCTTGTACCAGGCTACTATGGTACACACAAATAATGAGAAAAAGGAGATAGCCCAGCCAATCAATCGTCCTGATGTCCTCAGTTATCAGAGACTTGTCTTCAGGGTCTGAAATTATCATATTTTGTGCAGGTAGTTGCTCGGACAGGGCTCGGAGGTGGTGTTTGAGTGAGTGAACGTATCTCACTCAGAAAAAAAAGACCCTCTGGATGTCTTCCTGTGGAGGTATTCTGGGCATGTCTGTTTTGGAGGCAATCCTGGGGCACACCCAGAACATTCTAGACAGATTAGGTCCCAACCTGGCTGGGGTATGAATTAAATCCTTGTGGGGAGCTGGAGGACATGACTGGGGAGACTTATATGTGTTATGGCTGGGGGTACCTGGGTATGTCTTTTAAAACTGCAACCTTGAACCCAATGTATGGCACAAAATAGGTCGATGGATTGATGAGTTTAAACTCTTTGTCGACTAAAATCAAATAATACGGCACAAGTGAGTTTCCAGCTATGGTGTGGTCCTCTTTAATAAGCTGTAATTTGTCATTTCAGTGACAGTTTGATGACCTCTGTCTAAATAAGGTTAGCATACACCTGAAGACATGTTATCGTCTAACATAATACCATCTAAACAGTAGTCTTCACTCGGTGGATTAGGTCACTGGACACAAAATACAGTCTGTCTGAAGTGGGATGAAGACCCTGTCATTTTAACACTGCTCTCGTCAAACACTGCTTTTACAAATCTGGTTCTACCTGCTACCCTCTCATCTTATTCAACCCCACATTTACTCCACCTTTGAAACCATGAGCAGCGATTTGTAATAGAAGCTGACTTCAGTCCATATCTTTGAGTTTGTTTAGAGAAGATGCAGAAACTTGACACTCCTCTCGACACTTTCCTTCCTCTCTGTTTTTCGCACCTTCCTGACTATCTTCCCCCACTGTATTGATTCCCCTCATTTCTATTTCTTTACACATGAGCCTCGGATAGACTTTTCCATTATTTTTATCCTCAGCCAGTGCTCCTCTTGTCCTCTTCTACCCTCTCTTACCTCTCCTTTCCTGCAGCTCCATTAGGTAATGAGCCAATACGGTAAATCACAGCAGCAGCTACTGTATGTATGACTAAAGGCCTTACGTAAGAGCGACCTGCACTCGGCTAAATCAGCATTAGCCCCAGCTATGCGGCATGATATAGGTCTTACGTAAGGCGGTATGAGGGTTACTTCCCTCTGAGTCCTTCACCACAGGACAGAAGTCTTGTTAGTGGATCTCATGTCTATACAGCGTGGAGAGCTGATTATTTGCAGGTCGATATCAGGGATGAGTGGCTGTATTGATGTCAGACAGTCAGAGAGGAGGCTTTTTTACCCGCCAGAAATAGACAGAGAAAGAGAGATTCAGGGAGTGATACAGTCTAACTTCTACAAACTCCTGCTCATCGCTGCAGCAGCTGAGTGTGTGTATTCCAGGCAGCTAAACTATGACATCCCATCCATAAAGGGCGACTGTTCTGAATGTGTGCAGCAGTGGTGCAGGTTACAAGTATCGCATCACTGCGCAAGGCTGAGAAAATATTAACCAGCTGTTTTTGGACAACTATGTTTGGAATGTGTGGCTTTGAATGCAACTGCTCTGCAAGGGACTATCATTACCTGCAGGGTGTGCCCATCATTTCATGGTGATTCGCTCCACAGCCAAGCAGTCTGCAGAAGAAAGAAACAACAAAAAGATACAGTTGATAGTTCCCTTTGTGAACTCAGATTGGTATCATAGTGGTTGGAGTGCAACTGGGGGGGAACACTTGTGGCTCTCTATTGACTTTGCGTTGTCTGAGGGCCCTAGTTGTCACTTTCGTTTTGAGGCAAACAGCAGAAAAATACCCAGAGGCGAGTGTGTGTGCTTGGGAGCACTACCAACAAAGTAAGAGCCCTGAACCAAGCTTGGTTTTGTAAGCATTCAGATCAATAGACTAGGCCTTTTAGAAGTGAGCCAGGTCAAAAGGCATGATGCTTCAGAGGAAAGTTTGGAAAAACTGACCCCAGTGTTATTGGTGAGAAAAAATGAAGAGAATAGAGTGAAGTTACCCAAGACTAAGTTTAGACTTTCTTTCATCTAAATGATCAGACTGTTTTGTCAAGTAGTTGGAGAGAGTAGGAAGGCCACTATTTGACTGCTTTAGTTGAAATCTGGTCATCTGGCTTGTCTGGAGGTAAGAAAAACACTTTTTCAGTCCACAGGAAAAGGATGTCAGGTAGGTTTGCTGAGTGTTGCAAATGTTAGCAGAGCTAGCACCACCAGGCTTTGATGCTTCTTGCAGTTCAATAGAGTGGTTAAAAAACCTACCTTAACCTTGATCTCTGTTTTCAAGATCAAAGTCGTACCCCTCTGATCCTCCCTTAGAGTTAGTAACAGAGTTGGAATGGGAGGACGGAGGAGACGATGTGTAGCATAGCGGCAAGGTCCTGCTGTTGATGACACACTGGGACACCGATATTACACCTTTTCAGGGTGCGGTGTGTAAGTACAAAGCAGTAATGATGGCGGGACTCCAATTCAGCACAGTTGCAGTGTGTAAGAGGTGTTTGTCAACAAGCAGGGCAGGCAGCTGCTCGGGACCCCAGGTCAGCAGGGGGACCTGAACAACTGACAAACTTTAGACCCCAGCAGTGGCTCTAATGTGCAAAGTTTGCCCCGGCTGATAGCTCTCATTCTCACTGCACTGCGAGGAGTCCCGTGTGCGTCTTTCCTGTGTGAAGGTTTCTCAATGAAAATCCCTAACTGAAAAATGGCGAGGAGTTTGAAATGTCTGGGAGACAGGAAAAAGAGGAAGAGTGAAACAGAGCAACACAGTGGCAAGGGGATGAGATATTAGTTTAATATGCTAGAAAATGACTGCATGCTGCTGGTAACATTCAGATAAAATAATATTTGCTGATATTATATTTTGGTGCTTATTCTTTGGCATGTAACATTAGCTATCTTAGCTAGCAAAACAACCTTGTGTGTTGACCATAGACTGTATATAGAATGGACAGCGTCTGCCTCCCTACTGGGTAAAGCCACTTTGAAAACAGCACACCCTGGTGATGGGCTGCAGTATAGGTCATAAATCCTGCCCTGCCACAAAATTTACATTTTTCATTTTTCTCACCCCTGCTTGCAATGTTGACAAGTAGTCATTGTAAAACTGGTTTGTGTTCAAGTCCTCTTATTTCTGTGCAGCTCCATTTGTAAACGTTATTAGGGGGTTAATGTTTTCTATGATTGACACCTGATACAGCCTGTGGGTGTACGAAGATTGGGTAGCTCACCTGGGGGATACGCTGTTTGAACCGAGCATCATCACAGCAACTCTCGGCGACTCTCCCGCCGAATGCGTACAATGTGGTGGAGTACGTGCAGCACTACTGCTCAATGTTGGTTTAAGGAAATGGAGAGAAAACGCGGAATTACCGAGAGTTTTTCAGCTTCAAATCCTTACACTGGCGGAAGGCAGAACCAAGTTGTCCATAGTATATACAGTCTATTGTGTTGACTTACAGTTGTCAGGCCCAGGTAGAAGGGGGGCCCCCAGGGATTTTTTTTTGCCCCAGGCCACAATAGACCTTAGACTCACCCCTGTCATCTGGAGTAATTTCTAGTTCAGCATCTTGGCCAAGGACGTTAAAACATACAACAAAACCACCAAACCTTCACCTTTTATAAAGAGTTGGCTCATTGAGATACACTAACAGTTGTGAGTTTGTCAGTGAGACCTAAAATAATCCTTTGTCATTGTCATCTGTTGTGTTTTAGGTATGTTTGGTTAGTGTTTAAGGGCGTTGTTATGGTTGCTCTGATTTTTATTTTTTCTAATCTGTCCATGGGTGTTGTTTTCAGAGTATGACGCTCATGCACCCTGTCTCCATCAAACCACCTTATTGGGGGCTGACATCTGTTTATGCTCTGCGACTCCTAGCTTAAGAGATTTGGCCTAAATCAACTCCATGGGTCACACAATACCCGCTCCAAGCGCTCAGACTGATATTATAACATGGTGAATAAGCCACTTAGTCCCTCATGATAATTGTATATCTATACTGTATGTAATACCCAAATAGCCAGTACCGTACCCTGTAAATACCCAAACAGATTCTGAGGGGATTACATGTCTAGGAATGAACGGTATGTCTGTCAATGACAGACAGCTTAGCCTACTCCCAAGAAATGGCTTCCAGTCACTTCAGAAAATGAAAACTATTATTTGAGATATAGGCAGGTTAGGGTTGGTCTTTAGGGGATGATTTTCTCTTTTTCTTAGATAATCAGTTTAAGATGTTATAGAGATATCCAAATGATAATTAGCAGCGAGATTGATGAAACTGCCTCCAGCTATTTTAGATTAAATATAGGGAGTTGCCCTTAGCTCTGTCATTTACAAGTAATACAAAGAGTAATGTTTAAAGCTAAAAAGGTGTCATGTGTTTGATAGTCAAAAATGTCTCCAAACAGCTGCCACTCTGTTAATAAGAGTCAAAAATGAGCCTGTAGATAGTTTCAGGCGAGCTGTAGGGTTTAAACTCCTGTTTTTCAGTGAATTTTGAACATCCTGATGAAACTGCGAAAACTTGACTTGTTTTATTTAAGGGCTGCGTGATTTGAGTCATGTCAGAAAATGAAAACTATTATTTGAGATATTGGCAGGTTAGGGTTGGTCTTTAGGGGATGATTTTCTATTTTTTTTCAACAATCAGTTTAAGATGTTATAGAGATATCCAAATGATAATAAGCTGTGAGATTGATGAAACTGCCTCCAGCTATTTTAGATTAAATATAGGGAGTTGCCCTTATCTCTGTCATTTACAAGTAATACAAAGAATAATGTTTAAAGCTGAAAAGGTGCCATGTGTTCAATAGTCAAAAATGTCTCCAAACAGCTGCCACTCTGTTAATAAGAGTCAAAAATGAGCCTGTAGATAGTTTCAGGAGAGCTGTAGGGTTGAAACTCCTGTTTTTCAGTGAATTTTGAACATCCTGATGAAACTGCGAAAACTTGACTTGTTTTATCTAAGGGCTGCGTGATTGGAGTAGCTATGAGTCAGAGAGCCTCATGATAAAATCACTTTTAACTTAGCTTTAAAGAAATCCTCAGGAGACCTACTACTACGCGATTAGTCAAGCAGGTCTTTTCACTGCAGAGAGAGAGAGAGAGAGAGAGAGAGAGAGAGAGAGAGAGAGAGAGAGAGAGGAAGGGAGGGAGGCGGCTGTATAGGGAGGGGGGTCACCTTTTGTGCAAATATATCAACCAAGAAGACTACCACCAGCATCAGATTTCTGTGTGTGTATGTGTGTGAGAGAGGGAGAGAGGCACTCCTTTGCACAGAGAGAGAGAGAGAGAGAGAGAGGATAGAGAGAAGTCCAGAAAGCTTTGGAGCATTGAAGGAAGAAAGAAGACTTGCTGCTACCACATTTCCAACCATTTGAACCAAAAGCAAAGTGAATACTCCTCTTTGAAAAACTTGGAAAAGCAGCCATGGACGGGATAACACTCGGACGCGCGTCGCTGCTGTGCACCTTGCTGCTGTGGGCATTGCAAGGTAAGTCAGTCTGACACTTTTTTACCCTAAAAAAAACCTTCAAAGTAACTTTGTCACGCTGTGGGCACGGTGCCGGCTGTTTTCTATGGCTTTAGGCGACGAAATTTTACTTTGCTCTGATGCGGACTCGGGGTATAGGGGTCCGGAGCTGCCGGGACAGACCTGTCCTAACATGCCGCGGTCAGAAGCGGCTCATGAAGTAGTTTTACACAACCGGACACTTTTTGTTTCAACTTCGGGTTTCTCTCGATTATGATGTTAAGCAGCAACTAGTTGCCACCTGTGCCGATAAGTCGAAACATGCCCGGAGCAGGTGGAAGCTCCAATTTACGCTAAAATCCACTCAAGTTCTGTTACTTTTTGTCCTGAACTAGTGAAAAGCAGGTCACCGGGTTTTCTGTAATGTATCATAGGCCAATGGTGTGTGTCTTAAGCTACTTAAATGGTAAAACTCAGCTCCCCCACTGTAGCGCACTTTCTGTGGCACCAGGACTGCGGCACGCCGCTACTTCACAAGATACCGCCTCCTATCCACACACCACAGCCTTGTACAACCCGAAAGAACCTGTGTGCATATTACATTGGAGGTTGTCAAAATAAAAGACCGTCCAGAGGAAAAAAAATCTGTGTCAGTAGAAAGTGTAGTCCGTATTTATTCATGGTAAAAATACATATACATGTTTCCTACATCAAAAAGAGTTCGTCCTTCATACATTAAAAAAGAAAAGCTCTTATTTTGAAATCTGTCTCATTCAGGCTTCTATGTCTGTCTCTTGGCTGCAGTTTCTTGCGCTTTGATGTCTGATCTGCGGGATTTGCGTCTCCTTTGCTGGCAGTGTGCCTCACCCTGAGCACCCCTGGGTGCTGCCAAAGAGACTAAGCCAGTTTAAATTCAACCTGTCTTAGGCCTTATAAGAACTTTGTCAAAGGGAAAATCTGAGAACAGACTTGTTTAAGGAGTTGATGGAGAGCTCTGGAAGTTTATTCTTAGTCATGAATTTATCATGGAGATTTATCTCCCATGATTACCTTCTAACTGGTTTATGGCTCCACTGGGGAGACTGTGGTTTTACTGCAGGCTTTTTATGGTGTTTAAAGCTCCTTTTAGTGTCACCATAATATTTCAGATATTAACCGCATAAATATGTAATATATGACTTGTTTGATGTTGGTGTGTGCTTTATGTGTTCGTCTTAAAAATGTGTTACTTCCTCCAGAGGTCCCATCTGCATATTCGCTCGTCAAGATGAAATTTGTTTGAATTCTTTTTGGCATTTGGTGAAACTTATTCCTAATTCCTCGCCTGTGCAGGCTGTCTGTGGTGCTTTGAAGCAGGATGAGCAGTAGGGCGGGGCTGGGTTGCTGGGCGACTCCCCTCTCTCGCTCTCTCTCTCTTCTCCACCTCCTCCTCTCTCTCTCTGGCGGTGCTCAATGCATCAATTTTGAATCCTCAAGAACAGATTTGGAAATGTATTTTTTTAAACCAAACTGAGCTTTTCTTGCATTTAAATCTGAGTTTACCAAGCGTTCATTAAACCGGATGTCCTTTCACGACTGTCCCCTCCTCTGCTCTCTGGCCTCTGAGACAGTTGTTGCACTTTGCTGTCTGTCTGCCCTTCATGGAGCCTTTTAACAGGTGCTGAGAAGTGCCTTCTAATTGATGAATGTGGTGCAGATCGCACACCCTTACAGCTGTGGTGCATTGATTTTAAGGGTGAGGTCTTCTCCAGGTGCAGACCTCACCCTGCTCCACCACGCTGCCCTTAAATCTAAGGAAAGAAGAGTCGCTATTTGACTCAGAGCTCAAAATGTCAATTTCAAGGAACACAAGTCGTCAAATCCCTCCCTCTATCTCTCTTTCTCTCCCTCTCTTGCATAGTTTTGTCTAATAATAGCCGCCACTCTAGCTGGGTCTCACTGGGATTCTGTCACACAGACCCACATTCTCACAATTGCTGGTCACACACTTGCAGCTTGCAGCTATGTCAGTCCTGAGCACTAAATAGGGAACCAGGGGATGCATAACAGCAGGATGTGTCATCTCCTCAAAGTGTCACACATTATTTCAAACATATTTGTCTGCAATTATTTATGTACAGTTGTTGTAAAACATGCACATGGGGTGCATGACAGCCATGGGCGCCCCAAGGTGCTCAGCATGCCTGTGCCCAGGATCTCGGTGACCTCTTGACCCACTCACCCACATATCTTGGTGAATGACTCCTGCTTTGCGCTCCATACATGCCATATCTTTCTCTAGTGCGGCGCAGGGAGGTATGGCTGTGATGTGATGGTATTTGACGGCTTGAAAGTTTGTACTTTTGGGCCCATGTTTGAAAAAGTACTTTAAAAAATCACTGCCCTTTAAAAGAACTTTCACAGTTTGAAAGTACAAAGTCACACAAAGTGGGTGTTTTTCTCCAGCAGCACTGCCCTAGTTTCTCCAGTTTCTTTCACTCAGATTCTTAAATGTTGTAAGGACAAAAAGAACAAAGTGACGTTGAGGTAAAGACACAAAGGGAAAGTCAAACACTCAGATAAGTCTGATTTAAACTGTAGCGACTCCAAAGTGGTCTGAACCGGGTGGAGAGAATCGAAATGACAAGCATCAGCTGAGTTCAAGGTGTGCAAGTCTAACACGCAGCGTCAGCCTCTTTGTCTATCGCGGCTTTAATTCCCACAGTCATTTCCTCACTTTTAATTTCTGTCCCCCCTGCCAGCACAGAATCAAAAGTTCACCCCCTGCGGCCGTGTGTAATTATTATGGTATTAGGACCAGAAAAAGAGCCATTTAGGCATGAGGAGATAAAAGCCAGGGGACCTCTTTTACAACTATCCTGGGGCGCTTCATTTTTCAGACTTTTGCAAGCTCACACGTGTGCATTCAGATTTACTGATAGGAATTCGTGGTTTACACTCATTTATAGGCCAACTACACTGACACAGACAAAGTGGGAATAATTTATGTTGTGGCGCATACATGCAGAGTCCCTAGCTGCGGGATTCTGGGTGTTACACAACTCTGGAGGCCATAGCTCATATAGCAGTGAGTGACAGATTGATGGAGCTTGCGTTGGGAGAACAAGTCCATGTTTGCCCCCTTGTCATTAGGCCTCCGGGGGAGCAGGGTCTTGGAATGGCTTTGCTATGTGTGTGTGTATGAGACAGTAGAGGAATAGGGCACTGGGATGGAATGAGCGGCATTCCTGCGGACACGTCGCAGCTCGCTCTGTAATGTGTGTGTTTGTTTGTCATCACCTTTAGATTCTATAGAGAGAGGGGCTTCCTATTCTCGGGAAAAGACCCCTGTCACCGCAAGTCACCGGCTGAGATCCTCATTCAAACACGAGGCCACAAAAGCGGCTTCTGTCTCGCCGTTTAGTGGCGGTTTTACAGGTGCAAACTCGGAGTTTGTTCACAGTCACGGGTGCATTCTTGTGGTTTGACTGGGTTTCACTCAGCCGTACAACCAGGGGGCACTGGTTAAACATTACTTAGCTAGAGTAAAGAGAAGGTTCTGGCTGTTAGGATGTTTTGAGTAGGGGATTTTAGCTCGCATGTGTTTCACGTACCCACTAGTGTGAATAATTCAGACTGACTGACACATTAAAGTCAATTCAAACAGGTTGTTAGCACCCTGATGTTGTAATGTGAGCACGCAGTTGGCATAGATGGGCAGCCGGCGGGCTAATGATGGTAGGTTTTCTGCACATGGTTAATCCTGGTTTGAAGAATGATCTGGCTCTCAGTGGAGACAGGAAAAAGTTTATCCCCTCTTTTTTTCATCCTCACATCCTCACAGGAGCTTCAAAGGAGTTACATAAACCTGTGATTACACACACACACACACATCCACAGGTCCTCATACATAAACAAAAGGTGTATTTTATCCTGATTACCTTTGTTCCTGTTCACATCTCTCCCCTTCTTATCTTTGACGTTCCTTCTCTCATTTTTTCTCTCTTTTTGTTCTTTTAATGACACTTCATTGTACTTTTTAAGGCGGTGTGTTTGCTTGCTGTGATGTTGTCTTTTCCGCTGTGCTTTTGTGTCTAGGTCACAGTTAATAACCCTGAGTAGCATCAGGAAAAAGTGCCCTGCTGTGTTTTAGTGGGAGAGGGCTCTGTTTGTTTTTAACGCCCGTTCCCCGAGCTGCTTTTCCTCAGATTTATGGCCACTATTGATGATTTTAAAATAAACGCACCCATCCTCCCACTAGGCATGTGCAGTTTATCTCCCTTTCCCAATAAATTCCAATATGGTTCCTGCCTCCGCCCTGTCTATGTTGCTTTAGAGTTGCAAAGAGGTTCGACATATCACTGTTGATAGAGAAAAAGAGGAAAAGGTGGAAAAGCAGCTGGTTAGAAAGTTGTTTAGATCAGGTCTTTTGCTTTGAGGGTACTTTGTTGTCATTAGCGGCCATCCTAGGGAGGAAAGGAAGGAAGTAGGGAGGAAGGGATGCAGGGAGAGAAAGATCAAGGGATAGGATGAGACATGATTACAGCTGACTGTTGTGTTGCCACTGTGCGGCCTTGTTGCTGTGGTCTCGAGGGAGGAAGATGATGGTTAATTTCAAATGCAGCCTTGAAAAGATGCTCCATGTCTGTGCTTGTGTGCGTGTCCTTGTCTCCTCTTCTGTGTTTGTGCTGTTGGTGTTGGTGGGGGAGGTAATTCAGGGTTGGGAGCGAAATTGAAAATTCAAAACAGCTCTTTGGGAAGATGAGGTTAAGTGCTGCCAATCCATTTAGCAACAGAGTGCTGCAGTGAGATGTGCAGAAGAGACCCTCTGTCTGCATATGTTTTAGGTAAAGCCTGGCCCACGCAGAGGGTTTTTTAAAATCCTGAGTGATGATGAAAATGTGAGAGAGCAGTTTAGTTCTTTTAGTGTGAGAAAAAGCAATGGTATGGCCTCATGGTTGACTGATATCAGTTTTTAAATAGGTGATTCTGATACCGATAATGTAAGAACAGGTTGGCTGATGGATGGCCGATACATAATGTTGATGTCACATTGTCGTCAATGTCGCCAACACCCAGAGTCTTGACCCTGAAAACTGGACCACTCACAAAATCTCTCAGGTCATTGGTAGAAAACATGGCAGTTGAAGGGAGGATTGTTAAACCAGATGTTTCCCCAACACAACAGGGTATCTGATTAAAAATACCGAAGTAGAAATGCACCATTCTGATATTTGGATCGGACATTAGCTCGGATATTGACAAATTAACTGGATATCTGCTGAATGATGCAGATTAAGCGTTCCGATCCAGTCTTTTTTTTCTTTTAATTCATTTTTCTTTTAATACATGGAAGTCTTACTTCTTTTACTGTGTGCTAATGTGCATTTTGTTATTTGTTAATAAATAATATTAGTTAAATCTATATCTGTGTTAATTTGTCACCTTTTTTTTGACAAGGCTAACGTCAAGCCTGATGCCTTCACTCACAGGGCAGGGTGTACAGTTATTTCATTCAACAGTAGTATTGGATCAGTATCGGATATCTGCTGATATGCTTACCCCAGGTATCGTATTGGATTTGATATCTCTATACTGAATGCATTTAAAATTTACGATCTTAAATTGTTGAGGCCATGATCTAAAATAAATCACTCTTAAAACACCGGAGAATCACATTAGAGTTATTGAGTTTGGCCTAACATTTACCTTTAGCCCATTTAAGGAACATACAAAGTACAGAGATTTCTCTTGTTTCCTTTTTTAACTGTATCCAGTACAAATCAGTGTACTAAAATATCCGGCGAATCTCATTCATGTTTTGTTTCTGCTAAAAATAAAATTTTTGGAGTATAATAAACTCTCCTCATGTCCAGTTGTTCAGTTGCTGGAATGACTGGAACAAGAGTGATAAAGGCAGAGATAGCAGCAGTGAGGATCAGACAGGCGGCATACTCCAGGATTGGGGAATACCAATTAAGAATGGGGAATGTCACGGAAAAGCCTGGATCTACAGCCAAGGAGATCATTTTCCTGGCAGCAGAGCAGAAATCCTAACCCCTGCGCCCCTCCAACCCTAAACCCTCCATCTGACTCTTGGCTGGCTGAGCGTCCTCTGGGAGCCCCGCAAGCTGTTGCTTTTCAGACATCAACAGTTGCCTCAACAGCAGTTGTTGAATGCACCCCTTCAGAAAAAAAGCCTGTCACCCCTCCTCTTCATACACTCACACTTGGGTTCCATTACCACCTCGTGTCTTTCCACCCCACTAGCTCATCTCTAGTGTCGGGGGTAGATCTGTATGTTTGCTGTGAAAGCACTCCTGGCCTGATTGTCCCATTGAGTTTTTAACATCTCTAAAAATACTTCTGTAAAAAAGAGATTTTAAACACTTCCCACATGGACAGTGAAATAGATACTCACTTGCACCTTTGACCCAGTTATTCCTGCTTCTTCCTTCATAAAATTAACTGCGGAGCCTCCAGGGATTCTTCTCCTCTCTTATCTCTATCGCATAACGATAACCATATAAGAGGAGGTGACTTAAAGTTCACTAGCCTGTAGAATGTGATGTGTTTACATTTGCACAAATAAGGACGTATTTGAGCAAATTTACTCAAACCGCTGCCTTAAAGATTCGTGGATCATTACTCATCTCTCCTTTAAACCACTTCTCATGTCCAATCTCCCTCTTCCATCTGACAGAGGACATTCCTGCGCCTCCCCTGACTTTAATCTAGTTAATGGTTAAGCAGCGGTGGTTAACCTCTCCGCTGAGGCTGGTCACTGTTTGACAATGAGATCTTATTGCTTTAACGGGGCCAGGGGGACCTGAGAGACAGGAGTGGAAACATTAATCCTCCACGCTGGGAAGGAAGAGGTGGAGCAGAGGGTGGAGGAGGGGGAAGAGTTGTTGTGAAGGTATTTTTGATGTTTAGTGGTGATACAGCATCTTCACACAGGTTCTTACTCCCAGTCCTTCAAATGGAGGTTCCTCTCCAGCAGCAGTGGTCTTGTAGAGCTAATTGGGCAAGGCAATGTCCAATTAGACTCAAACTGAATAAAACTGTCCAGTAGGCTTTAACAAATAACATCATTCAAGGTTAAATCGCAAGATAAAAGTACAATCCGTTTACCATTTGACTTATACACATACAAAACTAACAAAGGGAAGTTAAAGCTCCTGTAAGAAGTTTGTAGCCGGTCATGAAACCATCAATGAGAGGACTTTCTGTGTTGTGATTGTAAATGCTTGTAACCACTTAATGCAGGGTAGGTTAGGGCTGGGCGATATGGCCTCATATCAGTATCACGATATACTGAACAGTTCAGCTCGATAACGATAAATGGACGGTAACTACTCCACAAGCTGCTCAGCCCCTCCCACATTAAATTTTGAACTGTCCTCCATCTCCTCACCCCATCCAATCCCTCTTTGTTACAGACTGGATGGGGTGGAGTCACATGTCTGACGTAGGACCACGTCTTAAAGGGACATGAGACCATAGCCTACCTACACATATCCAAAACCAACTTTATTTGACACCGAATATACCGATTTGGGCAAAATGACGTAGGTTATTGTTGTAAATTTTTGTATCGGACGATTTTCGGTTTATCGCCCAGCCCAAGGGTAGGTGCTGGACAAGTTAGGTGTCACATTTTTCACAGAGGTGCAGAAAATCGGTACGCAAAATAGTCCAAAATGAAACTATCTTACTGTTTTTGAAAATCAATTTTAGAAGAATTGAATCTTCACAAGGCTGAAAGTTCATTCTCTTTGACCGATTCTCTGACCTCAACTGCTGCCTCGAGCAAAATGTTCACACCCTTTATACTATATCACCTGACTGCCACACTGCATTGCTATATTAAGGCAGAGAATGGTGTCCATTAATGGCACCACAAGGGTAACCCTAGAGTCATAGTTCGACGCTTTCAGCTCGTCTAATACAATATTTGGGTCTTTTTGTTGTCTTTTGCGATGACTTCATGTTCATGTGTGAGAAAAGGGGGTTCCCCATGTTACCTAAGAACCCAGCCTGACTGTCATCACTGAACGGATCCTGTGTCGGCTTTCAGGCCCTCCGAGTCAGGTGACCAGCCCGAAGACATAACCTCATTGTTTTATGGAGGTTTCACTTACCTGAGCCCCTCTAAACCAACGACCACAGCAGGAAAGTTCCTCCCGCTTGTTTCTGCTTGTGTGAACTTGACTTTGAAAGAGAAGCACAGAGGAGTAAAGTTACCATGCTCTGACTGTTAATGCTCTCCTCAAGTCAAATCCTGTTCTTAACTTTAGTTTGAGTCTTCTCTCTGCATTAGTTACATCTCTCCCTGGAATTCTCTTGTCATAGTCTTTACCACTCCCTTCTTTGTGCCCAGCTCTGCGAATCATCACTTTTATCACGGTGTTTTTCATTCTCCACAGCGCTCACACTCATCTGTCTCTTTTCCTCTAACTTAACCTCAAGCTCTATCCATCATCTGTCTCCTATCCCCACCAGGGACCGGCAAAGAGTACATGAGTCCTCCTGACCATGTGTCGTCTAATCATCACAATCGCCTGAACAGAAGGTACCGGTAGAAGCAGAAATCCCCTGAGTTTTTCAGCAGTAGGGGGAGGTAATCTTCTCTTTCTGACTGACAGATAAGCTAATGACAGTAATCAAGAAGTTATTTCTGATGGAGCAACAGTATTTACAGAGCTACTCAAGCGCTCAAGTTTCTTTCGCAGATACATAGCAACAAATGCGTTTTTCAGATTTGTCTTTATCTTAATTTTCAAAGCGGAATTTCCTGTGTTGCTCGAGAAGAGTCGAGTTTCATGGCTTCATTTCGATTTTGTCTAACCGGAAAAAAGTACAAGCTTGTTCTTGTCCGTATGAATATTTAATCCAAAATCAATAGCATTCAATTGGGTTATGACTCCATCAGGCCAAATGATTCCCAATTACAAGTCCGTGCGATCTGCACAACAACAAACGTGATGGATAGTTATTGTGAGGATAATGTTAGACTTACAGAGTGGCTAACTGATTTAGCCTCTTGTTATTGGGGGCTAAAGTAATTATAACCCCACTGTTTTGCCTCAAAAGCATTTTGCATTTCGCTCTGGCAGCAGGGCTGTGGGGGCGAAAGACCAAATTTGGTCGCTGATTATTTGAACTACATGGTTCAGAGCAGACATACAGTGGATATTCTTTGTTTTCTTTGTAGCTTTACTGAGTTCAAGAGATGCTAAGGTCTAGGACAGGCAGCTTAGAGGACCCCCTTTGATCCCCACTCACATCAACCACACACACACACACACACACACACACTTCAAGATTTGTCTCCATGGAGAATGATGAAAGACGCACTGTCAATTAGCAGTTTGGGAGTGTGTGCTGCACTGTGTGTGTGTGCGCGTGCGCTGAGGTCTATGCATTGAAAGCCGTGTGTGAGGGTGGGGTTGGTTAATGGAAGGGGCAGAGGGGACACATGTTCAATAATAAGGCCTGACAAAGGGGGACAGGCAGAGGGAGGGATGGAGGGAGGATGGGAGGACGATGAAGCATTCAGTATGTCTCTGCTTTTCATTACATCTCCTTTTCTATTCTCTACTGGAAATCAATATCATTACTTGAATTAGAATGTTACCCCGCATTAAAACACAATAAGTTTGATGCAGCACAAAGAAAACATGCATCTGTGCAGATTTACAGAATAATTTATTTAAAAATCAAAAAGACAAAAAAAAGCCACTTAAAATGTTCTTATACTGAAATCTCTTTGACCAACAAAAAGCCAGAATTAAAAAAAATCTTCATCAGCAGTGATGCAGAAACAAAAAATCAAAAATGAGCAATACCCTTTGTCTTATTTTCAATGTAAAAATTCTCATGAAACATAATAATGAGCCACATTCACCTGACACCACCATATATTTGTCTTATTTCAAGATGTTACAGGCAAAATAAGAGCTGTAATGAGTTAACAAATCTGCCTGTGTGCTTGTCTAGCTAAATTTACCCAACAAAATGGACTGAATTGAGAATAACAACTTAATTAAAGGAGCTGAAGTACATTTAACTTATCCAACTGGCAGATTTTTAACTTATTACAGGCAGTTCAGGTCCTTAAGAAAAAAAAAAAAACGTTTATTTCCTTCAATTAGATGTTCAGTTGGATTTGCCGTGTGAATGTGGCTCATATCAAATCTAACCAATAATGTTTTTTACTAGATATTGGACAACAGCACAAACTACATTTGGAGTTTTGGAAGGTTAAAAAAATCACCACTGACCACAAATGACGTTCATGAACTTGAGGTCGTAGACATACTTGGCTGTGAAATTAGCTATTTGAGTAAATATGGCAGACTCTGTTTTTGTTGTGTGGCAGTCTGAGTATATCATAAATAGGCTTTGCACCTTTTCTGTTAACTACTTCATAATTCATGATAATATTATGATACTATTAAAATTAAATGAACTCCAGCGCTCAATGCTCGCTGATGAAGTTGTATGGCTCAGCTGTTTTGAAGCTCCTGTGCTTATAGACTATATAGGTGTAAAACACATTCCTGAAGCAACATACATGACTCACACTGTACTTGTGTGTGGAAATATGGTGATTTATATGTATTGGCCTCAAGTGTTCAAGTCTGAGAGCCAAAGTGGATTCCACTCAACTTTGTTCATAATACAACTGCAGCCCTGGGACTTCTCATTGCCACACCTTGTTAATGTATATTTCAGAGGTCTGTCTGCACCTGAACAAGGCTACATTGTTAAAACATTCCTGGAGGCTGTTGGAATGCAGGTATTAATACTGGGCTGATTACACACATGGCAGAGAGAGAGAGGAAGAGGAGGAGGAGGGAAGGAAAGGAAAGGAAGAAAGAAGGAATGGAGGGGAGACGCAGAGAGAGGGGGCGACGCTGAGGCACAGTGAGAGGGTGACAAAGGGTTGGCGATGTTTTAAGTGCGTGAGTGTGTGTGTTTGTACACGCATGAATGACTACATGGATGTATGCAGGTGGTTAAGTCACAGTGTGTGCACCTCCATACATGTGAGAAGTCTGCACGTTCGAGAAAGTGTGTGTCTGGAATGCGTACCCCATTAACTGAATTAACACTGCTGTGTGTGTATGCAAGCGTGTGTGTGTGCGTGTGACAAAGCAGAGAGTTGGTGTGGGGGACAGGACCTGGCTGTGTGTGTGGGCAGCCGTCACTTGGAGCAGTCAGGGCTATTGGGAGCATGTGAACATTACTGCAACCCCAACATGAACTGAAATCCGTACTGAACAGAGGTTATAAATAGGTGTGAGTGTGTGTGTGACCAGTCCCACTTCGATGGCTGTACCAGCTGGCGATGGGACAGTGGTGGATTTGTAGGAGAGAGCCCGCTGCTACACTTAGCGAGGCCTCACATGTCTGAGCCAACTCTTGTTTTCTTTTCCATTTTATTTAATATCCCAAGTCCTCCTTTCTGAGTGGTCTTTTCTTTCACCTTGTCGACACACAAAGCTGCTTGCTGCCTTTTTTTCCTATTTTTTCAGTTAAAACAAAGATAACGGTGTGGCAAAGTGTTTTCAAAATAATGTTTTCAATGCTTAATGCTTTTGATACTGCAGAAGGATTGGAAGTAGAAAGGTGATATGACACAATACGATACAATACTATATTATACAATCCGTTACGATACAATACGATATGATATGATACAATACAATATGATATGATTCAATACGTTACGTTACAATACAATATGATACGATATGATATGATACAATACAATACGATATGATATGGTACGATATGATATGACACGATATGATAAGATATGATAAGATACAATACAATATGATATGATACGATATGAAATACAGTAAGATTACTAAAGTTAAGATGATTTAAGCAGGTAAAAAGATCAAAATAATAGCAATTTCATGTTAAAACATTTTTAAATTTAATTTCAGGGCCTACTATGGAGAGCTATTGAGGCATTTCGCCATGCCCACGGTGAAAACCCATGCTCCATGAACCATTCCTATGTTTTGGCTAAAGTGGGCTACATGCTACACTTTCATTGTTTAGGTTATGTCTGATGAGATTTGATAAAAACCTTTATGTAAGTGTAGTGCTATCTCATAAGCTCATGGTTTTAGCCAGTTTAAATCAAAACCAAGAGGTAAAACATGTTATGAGAACAATTCAGATATTTGCACCAAAAATATCGTTACTTTATTTCTGTGCAACAAAAGCTTTTCTTTCTCCATCATTCTTCAAATTTTTGAATTCTTTCCCTTTTTAAATCCTTGCTGTGATTTGATCGGGATATTCTCCCAGTTTGCATTGTGTCACATTGAGTCACCGTGGTTGTGGCTCCTGACTCACCAGCTGGTGCTATATGATCCCGGCTGTCAGGGTTAGAGCCTGCTCCTTGGCAAGGAAGTATGCGAGATAAAGCCCGCCAAAAAATCCACCATCCACTGCCTGCGCCCTCTTCTCAAGCCCCTCACCCACTCACTCCCTACCTCGCCCCATCTGTTTGCGGTGGTGGTGTGTGCGTGCATTTGGCGCCGGTTTTTGGGGGGCAGTTGGTGTAACGGTTCAAGAGAGCATCTGAGCCGGGCCCACCATCGGCATCACAGGGCACACAAAGTCAGAGCTCAGTGTGCAGCGCTAACCTCAAGCTAATGCTAATTTCCTTGGAAAATCGGCAAGATAGGCTACATGCTAAGAGACCTCGGCCTTATGGTCACATTGCTATCAGCCAAACAATGGCATACTTGTCTTCCTGCAGTTCCCACCTGTTCTCCTCCCTCCTTTCGGCTTAATCCAAGTATCAAAACAGGACCTCGTGTCCTTCAGAGAACACTTTCTCTCTCTCTCCACCCACTGTGTGCTTTCTTTCTTTTTCTCGATCCTTGCCCTCTCCCTGTGGACTGGTGTGGCATTTTCAGCAGGACAAAGGAAACGGTGGCACTGATGGGGAAAGAGAGGAGACATGGACTCCAGATCATGTTGCATTTGTTCCTCTTTAACACTATCTCAACTTCTTTCTCTCTGTGTCCTCATTTCTTTCTTTCACTGTCTGCTCACCCTTCCCTTTCTCTTGACACTTCTTCCAGTCACTTGTTTGCCCTTTTTTTGCTCATTTCATATCCTCCTCTTTCCCCATTCTTTGGACTTTCTCTGCTGGTGCATTTCTTTCTGTGCATTTCCATCTTTTCCCACTCCACCATGCAGTCAGAACCCCTGCAGTGGATTATCAGTCAGTTGACTCACAGAGGGCAGCCAAAGCCTCCAGTACAAACATGAGACAATATCCAAATGATTGGCTGCCTGGCTGTGGACCGTAGAAACAAGCCTCCATATCAGCCTTAGCCAGGCCTGGTCCACTGGTCTGACCATAAACCACATTAGCGGGTCACACTGACACACTGCAGCACTCCTGTTTGTTTGCAGCAGCTGCTTTGGTTGTAGCTCAGCATGGAACAGAATGAATTATCAGATAAATACAGAAGCTGCTATCATTTGTTTTCGCATAAGGTTTGTTTTTTTGTGCGTGTGGGCGGGAAGAGGAGTCTGGATGGCAGAAATCGTGCTAAGTTATGCTAATGAATGTGTGTTGCCGAGCCCCTCTGTTCTGATTTCTTTCTCAGAGGCTCACCGGGTCATGTTCAGCCACTGAGTTTTGTTTTCACTTTATCATTCCCTTGCATCTGTGGAAACACAACAATTGGCATCCAAAGCTCAGAGCTAAACCAGCACAGTTCCTGCTGAATTCAGTCGCTCAATGCAAATCCGATGTATTTTTATACATACTTAATGCTACTTATGCATATTTTTATGGCCTGGCACCCATATGTGGCCGGTTATTTGCAAAATGTTATGAATGAAGAGACCATTTGGTGCGAACAGAGGGTGGTGAGCATCTGCGTCCGAGTGCGCTAAATGTATATAAAGCCACTTTAATCTGGGGAACACATTCTCTTGCGTCTACCGGGTGTTTTCCCGCCCATCTGCCTCTCCTTGTGCACAGCTGAAACTTTGAGCCGGAGTGTTACCTCCAAGTGTTGCCTCCATGTGTGTCCCCGCCTCGCCTGCCACCTCAGCCTGAGCCTCGCTGCTCATTATGGAGATATTCCGGAGGCTTCTCTGCCCCCCAGCTATCTTTCTGCTCATGAGATGGAGAGCTGAAGTCATGGAAAAATCCCCGAGCTCTGCTGATGATAGCTTCCACGTCGCCTGTCCGTCAACTTGGCTCACTTCTCTCCCACATTCCTCAGCTCACACTTCTCTTATGTCTTCTCACCTCTTCCTGGATTTGACAGCCCCCCTCTGCTCCTCTCTTCTTGCCCTTTTCTCTCTTCTTCCCCTCACCCCTCGCTGGCTTGTACCTGTATGGACAAGCTTTTGCCTGCTTTTGCAAAGCCCCTCACAAACACCCTTTACCCTCCCCACAATAAATGTCAAAACTTGCCCAAGGGCCCCAGCACACCCACAGAATGTGTAATTGTAACCCAGCCGTTACAAAAGCAAGCTGTTCTCGGATGGCATTTGGTGACATGTAGACTTCAGGGACGGCCTTTGAGAAAAAACTCTCGTTGGTGACTCTCCTCAAAACAATGATCAAAATCCTGGAAATGAAAATCAAATAGCTCACTCGTTCTCTGTGCTTTGGTTTGAAAAACATCTTTTATGAGCCAGTCTGTGATTTTGGACTCGGTGAAATGAATAATGAATGAATGATGCTGCCGGGAGGTCCAGCCACGCAGCCACTGCTGCTGCAGCCTTTGAGTTCATCTAATTGAAACAAGTTCAAAAGTGTCAGGTCTGCTTTTATCTCCGTCTACTTTCCTTGATCTCTCCATCCCCCACTCTTAAAACGAAAAGCACCGTCTGACAGCCATGAATATAGTCATATGATGGAATATATCCAATGATAGTGGGTTCACTTCATGTCGCGCCTCTCTCTCACTCTTCCCCTCTGAGTTTTTCATGAAATCAAAGAGAAATGTTTCGATAAAATCCCCCTCTTTATCTCCACCCCCTTCTTCCAAAAATGGCCAAAATTTGAGGAGCACTGTTCAGCAGATTAGCTTCACTATCTGAATGGTCTCCCTAAGCCAGCTACCCTCTATTTGACCCCAGCCCTCTCTCCTCACCTCCCTCCACCCTTCCAAACGTCCTTCCTCATCCCCTCCCTCTGTCTCCCCCCTTATACACTCAAACATCTCGACATTATTACCAGATACTTGGAGATAGAGGAGGTGGATGGGATGGTGCCAGGGTAGCAGAGGTGTTGATAGTAAAGCTTCAACACCCTGTGAAACTTCCAGAAGCCTCCTCCTCCTCCTCCTCCTCCTCCTCCTCCTCACACATACACAAAGATACACTCGCACATGAAGTACATGTTGTCATCCAGCTTGGCTTTCAGCAGATCTGTTATCCTAAAATACCTGTGCTTAAAAACACCTACCTGGACCATCTGTTCCTGCAAACACCTACAACAAGACTTGTCAGCTTGGAGAGAAACCAAGTTAATCTTCCAGGCTTCAGCTTGAGTAAACAATCCACAACTGTATTTACTATATTTATGTTTTAAAAATGCATGTAGATTAGTGCTGTTTGTTTATGTGTTCAATTAACATAGAGCATTACAAATTAGGCTCATTTTGGCCCTTTTTGCACACTGTAGTCAGGCCACTGTGGTGTCTACGCTTCTATCTGCCAACATCATAGAGGAAAGCAACACTACTGTCCCTTTGAACAGTTTAGCCAAAAGTTGACTGAGATTTGTTTTCAGCACAGATCACCCAGCCCAAGGTCTAAGGGACTTTAAAAAAACTTATTTGAAATGTAAAATACTAGAATTTAAACGTTCAATTAAAGATGCAACTAATCTGGATTAACTACAGATTTAGTTCTTAATCATAGAATAATTAATAAACGCCTCAATACAAAGGCCAACATAACAAAAAAAAAAAAAACATCTTCCAAGATCCACCACAGTACAATCATACGAAAGAAGATTAGGGCCACAAGAAGAGAAAAAAATAATTACAGGAGGGAGATTTTTTTCAGATTTCCATTTCGAGATTAAAGTTGACATTTCGAGATTGAAAAAGTCGTAATTACTTACAAGAATAAAGTCTGAATAAGTCCTGATATTCTAACCTGTTGTTTAAGATGACAGATGTTGGAATTAGAGCCATGGAGCATTTTGTGAAAATGTGCTTCAATACAGGTTTCTCAAACAAGGAGATACTTAATCTTTTGGCACATCAACACCACATTATCACAAGTATAATAATGATTTTATTACGACTTTATTCTCGTAATTAACGACTCTAATCTCGAAGTCTCAATTTTTCTTTCCTAATGTGGCCCTAATACTCTGTCGTATGATCGCCATATAAATCCATGTCTTTTTCTGCCTTTAACACTGCCTTAAAAGGTGATATTGGTTTCTAAAACAATTCCAGCTAATACATTTATCTGATTTAAAAACTCGTCATCCCACAAATAAAAACAACTAATCTTGGGTCAGTTGACCGGTTGCCAGGATATCACACACTTACTGCTGGTGATCAGGATAGACTTAAAAGTCCTATCCTCCAGGTCACTCTGTTCATTAAAAGGGGAACATTTCCCTCTTCATAGCGTCTGCCTCAGTGGTATGCAGTAGCCATGATTAAAGTGATACAAGGACACCATGACACACTCCTTCCTCATGATTCATGTCTCTTTTGATCTTGGTATGCTGCTGATCTTCATGCCACTTTTGCCGCATTTCCATTTCTTTTCTCGTCCTCTCCCTCCTCCTATCAGCGCCTGTCATCCTCGTAATCTCAACCTGTCAGACTTCATCATCTTGTCATCACTTGCTTTCTTTCCGGACTCGTTCTGACCTCATATGTGTGTTGTTTTTCCTCGATACGGTATCTCCATTAGACATGTGGTCGGAGTGTTTGCATGAGAGGTGAGGTAATGGAGGAGCAGGTTTCATCAATGAGTTGGTGCTTGGTTGGAGCGTAGGTGTGTGGAGGAGATCTTTTTGTTGATATGTTTTCAGCCAGTGTAACTACTATCGGCTCATAAATTATGGGTATTTTATCCGTTGAGTGCTTTTTTTTGAAGGTTTTGTTTGTTAAGTCTAAAAGGCTAATTACTTTGACGAGTTTTAAGTGCCTAAGGTGCTTCCATTTAAACCACTTTAACTTCTTCTGCACTGGTGTCCTTCTAGAGCTGGGCGATAAACCGAAAACGTACCCATACCGAAATTTATGACAATAACCAATAATCATTTTGTCCATATCGGTATATTCAGTGTCAATAAAAAATAAATAAATAAAAGTTGGTTGACTCCACCCCATCCAGTCAGTAACAAAGAGGGAAAGACAGGTGAGGAGATGGAGGACGGTTCAAAAGTTGTAGCGGCTGAAGTAGACAAAGTTAATGTGGGAGAGGGCGAGCAGCTTGTGGAGTAGTTATCAACCATTTATCGTTATCGAGGTGATTTGAGGCCATATTGCCCAGCCCTATATCCCCTCCCTATAGACAAACGCTTATGTCCCTCATGACACATGCTTGCCTTTTAACCAGAATACCCTTGGATTTCAGAGGCCAGTGAAAAGAACAGGCGTCAGAGGCCTATAATGGAGGGGCAACATTATTGATGAGATGTCAGTGGGAAACATAGAGCCTGCAGAACTGTAAATTTGCTTTTTTAATAAGGTTGACTGATTGTGTAAATGTGACCATGTGGGAGCAGTCGGGGTCACAGGCCCATCTGGCGTGGGTTCTCACGGGAGGCCTGTTACTGCACACGTCAGCATTCGACCTTGCGTATGTTCACTTTGAAAGGGAGGAAGAGTTAATGCTAATTTCGATGTTGTGTTTTCATTCCCAAAAGTGGGGCACGTGCTCCATGTGAGCAGAGCTAGTTGTAGCACTGAATGGATCAGATTTGCTGCAGGGTTAGAGAGCAGAGCTGGATGTCGTTCAAGGAATTCCAGTCCAAGGACCCTTAAAGTACGTCAACACTAACAAAGAAAGTGTTTTTATACTTCATTGGAGTCCCAAAATGCACTCGGCTTCTCATCCAAACACAATGCATTCCAACAAACCGGCTGCTAAAATAAATCAGTGTTTTTCAATATTGTCTTAAAGCGAAACAGTAATTAGCAGATTTTCTCTAAATCTGGGCACATAAATAGTCTAATGCGAGCACACATCCCGTTTAAAGAGAGAGGATGAGAAGCCTGAGCAGTTTCGAAAACTTAAGTTCTGGGGCAGGTTGTGTTTTTTTTTAGTAAACTACCATTTTGAACCTTCTCCCCTTTGTCCCTCCCCCTCACTTGTCTTTGTCTCGTTCCTCATCCATGACAACGTCCCACTGTTTTTGTGTGTTTGTTTATGCATTAGCTGTCCTTCCCAGAAACCCCCTTCACCCCGCCCTCACCTGCATCAACCCCCCTCCCATCCCCTCGCTCACCTTCCCCACATCCTCCTCAGCCCTTCACCCTCTCTATCTCCCATCTCATTCGCAGGCCCGTGCAGGTTGAGACGCATGTTGTTTTGTCTCTCTCAGGTTTCACACATTCCAGATATTATCAGCAGGCTCCGGTTAGCTTAGCTGATAGCCATCAAGACGGGGCGGTCAATCACTTAGCAGACAATGAGTGATGGTGGCCTCTGTGCCGAGACTGATGCCCACAGATGAAAAGCTTGCACCAGGCGTGGCCTTAACAGGATAATAAGTATATCACATTGGACAGCCATGCAGTTATCTTGTCTGATGACTTAGTTCTCCTGTCAGTTAGACTGTCTGTTTGTGCTCTGCAGAATCACCAGACGAGTGTCCGGAGAATGAATCAGAATAAAAATAAGTCTTGAATATTTAAATCCGGGTTCATTTCCCTAATTATTTCATGTGTTGTCTCCCATTTCTTTTCTAATCACATCATCATCCAAAGCTATGAATAATAATGTAATGACGCATTAATGAATATGAAAAGTACCGGGAAGCAGATTGGAATTTCATGACGATTATAATAATGCACCTTCTCGAAGTCTCTGGTGAGGTTTGATGTGTAAATGAAGCCGACACTTTTGGTGTCTTCGTCAGAAAATGTTCTGATGATAAGTGGTTTATTTAAAAGAATCAGAGCTTGGAATTGGAATTATTCATGGCTGACATTTCCTTCTGTTTTATTCTGTCATTTTCCGACTCCCTCTTCATCGCCGTCCTTTATCAGGAAACGGGCGGACAGTGTTCTCTGAGTTGTCTGTTTATTTCTGTGTTTGCGTCTGTGCGTGTCTGCCTGCGTCTATCTATCCTCCTGTAATCCAGCCCGGGGGCAGCTCCTGTCCCCTGCAGGCTCAATGTCAGCAGCCTGACTTTGATGTCAAGCCACGATTTATTTGTGTGTCTCTGCAGACTCCCCCCGCTGTCCACATAATGTCAGGCAATCAATAATAATGTGACCTACCTATCTACCCCTGCCTGCCCACTGCTTAAGTTATTCACCCCCTGGCCCTGCGCTGGTTCAGTCTCTGACCCGTCCCTGCCCCTGAAAAAACCCCTTCAGTGCCCGTCCTTCCTACTTTTTCCAATAATGCCTGTCTAGCTATGACAATAACCTCTATGTCTGTTACCGTGGTAACATACAGCCCCCCTCGAGCTAAAACAAACCACTGCAGCACTTGCTTAAAAGAAGAGGCTCCTCCCTGTGGACTCAGATCAAGAGCGACAGGGTGCAAGATGGATGGAGGGTTGCATAAAGAAAGAGAGAATTAAAAGAGAGGCTGTTTGTTCATGAATATGTTTATGCACCCTCCCTCGAACTGCTGCTGTGTTTCTTAGGAGGTAAAGGGGAATTGGGGAAGACAGGTGTGCCATTATGGTGCAGATTAGCTAGGAATGCTGGAGGTTAACACAGACGGGAGTTGGCTAACTCCAGCTCCGAGTCCCTTGGGTTTTACTCAAAAATGTGTGTGCACAAAACGTGATCTGCATGCCGTTTACGACATTTGTGCATGATCTGCCCATATGCCGAATAATATTAGAAATATGCGCTCCGGGTGTGTAAATATGCATGTGCGCATATAGTGTCTCCTGTCTCCTTGCCTCACCCATGTATGGGCATCCATCAGCCTCTCACTATCTCCTCGTCTCCTGCTTATCTGCAGGCCCTGTCTTGAAGTGTTGGTGAAGAAAATAGAAACCTCCTTTTCGGGATGCTTTCTATTTTTCTTTCCGCTGTGTAAAATATGCACCTCGTTGCAAGAAAATGGTGCAAAAGATAACGCAGCGTGACACTGGAAATGATGTAGAATGCTTTTAACTGTGCACCACAGCGAGCGCTTTATCTTTTTATAATCATTTGTCTGCATGTTTGCATCAGTTTAAGACAGGAAGCCATTTGAGGAGACTGTCTGCATACAGATGAGTGTGTATCTACTGTATCTATATCTATAAATATATATGCTGTGAGTACATACACTTGTTTGTGGTGTTTACTCCACTCTGCTTGCTTGTTACTGTGTGGCTGTTAGCGGTTTCCTCCAACCTCTCAGCCTTCAGTTTCACACCAGCCAGCCATGTGGTCCCTCTCCACCCTAATTAAACTCGCTGTGGTTCCAAACTCCAACCAGAAAGACTCAAGCTCATTGCCAGACTCTTGTGTCAGCAGCTGCCAAGGCCTGCCTGTACATTAGAGAGAGAGAGAGAGAGAGAAGGAGAGTGAGAAACTGAGAGTGGAGAGAAATCTCATACCCATATTTACCTCTCATTTTACTCTGTCAAGGCAAAGTGTGGAAGAGTCTGCCAGAGAGTAAGCGGAGCAGCGGGGGGAAAACAAATAAAAATGTGGAAGAGGAGACAAAGAAGGATCTACTGTAGACAGTATAATCAAATGGCTGCCTGATGGAGAGGGAGTTTAGTGGATTTAGAAATCAAGACGAAGAAAGGGGGAATGCCGGAGAATAGTAATTAACTCTGAATTATTCTATCTCTGAGGGATCAGGGGGATTAATAGAGGCTTTGGTTTGGATTCTGCACCTTTCACTCTGCTTCAGAACAGGATTCTGGGTAGCCCTGTATGTAAACGTGTGTGTGAGTGTGTGTGTCTGCGTGTATATATGTGTGTGTTGCTCCAGAAGGCTCCATGTTTCTGTGCCAGCAGGCTTGTGACCGTATCTCCCTGCCAGCCAGCCAACCAGCCGGCCAGCCAGTGATTGTGTGTGTATTGATGTGTGACTTTGTACCCCCCACTTACTGAAGTTCATCCAAGCATTATAAGTTAATCCGCCATAATAGGCAAAAAGACATAAAGTGGGGAGGGGGGTGGAGAGTGGAAGGTGGAAAAGTGAGGGAAGAGGGAAAGTGGGTTGAGAGGTGGGGCATCAAAAGGTAGAAAGAGAGTGTGGGAGTGTGTGTGTGTTTGAGGCCGGTGTGTGTGAGGTATTCAAGCCAAAAGACTGCAGATTTAGAGTTAGACGGACCGTTCTAAATCTTGGGCTTATGCGCTGTTTTGGGACAGCAAGTGTTGATAGCTGGAGCGGGAAGACAGCTCACGTCGTTCAGATGAAATCATACATTCACCGACAGAATCGCGAACAATAAATCTCCTCAAAGGCGATAATAAAAAAAAAACAGTGATTTAAAAGGGAGACAAACATTTTCCTGTGAATGAATCAGCGGAGTATGTAGAGGTGAGGAAGATAAGTTGGGATCTGTTTGGGTTGACTAATGGAGGTCAATGATGGCGATGAATTACTTACAGAGAGAGAGGGGAAGAAAAACACTTGAGGCGGCTTTTGTTTTGGGTTTCCTGTATCTCTCGACCTCACACTGAGTGTTGCCACTGTCAACACTGTGTAAGGCTGTGTTTATCCAAGACAAGAGGGGGCAAAGAAGTGAGGGAGGGAGGGGTAGGACCGGAGGGCAGGTGCAGGGGTAATTTTGTGATGGCGGAGGTTTTATTCATTCTGTCTTAAGCAGTGACCCGTACTGTACACACACTGTCTCTGTATCTCTTGATTACCGCCTGTCCTGCAGCTCTTAAGCGTGCCTTTCTTTCTCTTACTTGAATTTAAGATTTCTGAGCTCCTGTTAGCATGCACTTGAATATATTTCCCCCAAAGCACACGTCCCTGTCTTGCCTTCATTCTCCACACACTTGTGCCCTTTTCTGTCACTCCGTGCCCTATCTCTCCGCCAATGTGTTTACCCCCTTCCTCTCTATCCCTCTATCTGTCCCCCACACACCAGCTTTACCAGCCTGCTGAGCACGATGGCCTGTTTTTAAAAAATGGAGCAATGGATGGATAAGAAAAAACAGCAGAAGGATAAGGGATATATAGAAAGGAGAGAAAGGACGAACAAATCAAAGCGTACTCCAGTGGCCTGTTATCTCATTACAGCTGTACCGGCTTGTCACGCCTGGCTGACTAGCCCCCTAAGGAGCGCCCTCGCCCCCTTATAAGACCCCCTTTATTCAGCGAGCGCTCTCGTATTTCAACTCAGGCACAAAGAAGGGCAATTCTCGCTGGTTTCCAAGCTGTCCACACCAGATTTGTGTATCCTAGCCCAGTTGAGGCACACAATCGAACGTACAGCAGGGCCACGGGAACATACACAGAAGCCTTGTTAGCTGCTAGTTATGAAATGATGCTGGCGGATAATGGAGGCTAATAGTAAGAGTGGAGATCCATTTGTTCCACCATTTTCTCCCTATTTCAGCCCTCTTACATAGAGTCCCATGTGGGTTTGAGAAGAGGGCTTCAAGAGGGAACTGCTGTCAGCTGAAGTAGTGGAAATGGTGTTACTCTCTCCGGCTTTTTCCTCCCTCCTCTGCCAAAATGAAGACTCATTAGGAGGGGAGGGAGGGTTGTATCTAAATGAGATGGACAGAGTGCTACTCAGCACTCCTACAGAAAGGGAACGAGAGAGCAGGAGGATGCAGAGAGAGGGATTTTGCTGTAGTGGAGCGAAACACAGAGATCGGCAGTAAAACTTTCTAATTTCCTGTCAAAAAAAGCAGCCATGCTAATATTTCTCTGACCTTCTGAAAAGCTACCTGTCCATAATGAAACTCCAAATCTTTTTTTTTCACCCAACTAACGACTTAAACTCAGTCATTGACTCGCTCCATAGTGCAAGTTAAAAACTAATGCAAGTACTCGATCTCTAAATATGTTAAAATCCAAGTTAGGGTAAAACCAATAAATGGATCAGTCTGCAACTCTGCTTCACAGCTGTGATGACTTCTGTTCAAGACTTTGCAGAAGCTTGAGAGGCATGTCTTGTAAAACACACAGTGGATGCTCCACACAGACACACTAAGACATGCACACACACACTCGGCTGTTCTGCCCTGCCAGCTCCAACACTTGCCCCCTTTCTGGCTCTGTTACCACCCGCACAGGAGTTGGAACAACCATGTAACACCATGTAACCTCTGCATGTTACACATTCCAGATGAAGTGTAACAAGGACATGAATATCCTGTGCTGAAACAGCGGTATGTAAGAGCCTTTTGGTAAAATTTGGCAACAGTGGCAGAGAACCTTTAACATGTGCTGTGTCAAATGTTTTATTTTGTTTTACATCTCCTTGGTATCAGCAGTTTCAGGCAATAAAATTTCATATTAAGACATAATTAATCCAAATTCTGATGGTCTTAACCTTTTTTATGCCACATCAAGGCATTGGAATAAGTTCCAGTTTGTTCATTTCTGGGGAAAACTCCTCACAGGAGCTTTAATTTGAAGCCTGACTTGGATCCTTAAAACCTGTTAGAACTCATGTAATACTTTGAAATATTTTGAATAATTGAAATCATATCTCTGACATATCTCATAGTTCTCTTTTTCTGAACCTTTATTTAAACTATAGAAGAGTTATTCTGTGAAAAGCATTAACCTGAGTGTTTCCACCCAACTCTTGGACATCAGTTTTTTATGATTTGCCTGAAGTTTTTACATCACATGAAGCTTTTCGAAGTGATTTAATACAGTTAAGCTGTAAAAAAAAACACTAAAAAGCATTAAAGATTATGTCTAACTCTCATGAAATAGTCTTACCTCCACTGGGAGTAAGATAGGAAAGGGAGTTACAGTAGCATCTCAGTGTTATTTACCCATAAGTCCTCTGTTCCCTCCCTTTATTTACCTCAGCTTGAGCCATGTGTGTATAACCCAACCACCCAGGAACAGGCCCCATTGTCCAACCAACAAAACACCTGGGTGCTACAATTCAGCACGAGGTGACTGTCGGGTGGAAAAGGGCGCCAGAGGGATTGAGCTGTTGAGATATGAAGGGCAGGCAGGTGTGTTTGTGCGTGTGTGTGTGCGCGCTTTGCTCTGTTTGTGAATGTAACTGGAATCAAACTGTAAATAGGCTACTGTAAATAGAAGTTGAGACATCCATCCCTACACTCATATTAAAATACACGTGTTGGCAGGACGGACTGTTTCAAAAAGGGGTTTAGAGCTGAAATGTGAGACATGTTGGACTGCTTATCTCCAATTTTATTTCCCCTCTAGAATAAAAGTGTCTGTCATTGTCTTTTTTTACTTTAATCAAACACACTGTGAGCTATTGTAATCCTAAAAACACACACATCCAAACACTGAAATAGACACACTCCAGTGACTCCTTCATTACAGTAAATGGGTATAAGAGCTACCTTGCGCTTAGTATTTATCTGTACTCTGTGCTTGGAAATGACTTGCAGAATGAATTGATTAAAAGATGGAGGGAGAGGAGGGAAGGCAGAGAGACAGCAGCACTTTGTCCTAACCCTTTTAGTAAGATTAGTTGTAGTCTTAATGTCTCTCCCCTTATTTATACTGTGAGTCAGCCTTTCTCCTCGTCTGCTCGCCCTCTGTCTCTCCTCTCTGACAAACCGTCCCAGCAGCCAGAGACAGAAATGACAGTGTGTTTTTATTCTGAGAATATGACGACAATAAAGCAGCAAAGATGATGAAATAGGGGTGGTAACATTTGCAGGTGTAAAGTCAGCAATTTGGCAAAGTAAAGTATTTTCATACATCAACAAAACTGCAAAAATTAAAGTCTTGTCTTGAGTAATCTCTGTTGGATAATATCCATAGACATGCTATGACCTTGGACATCACCGCTTTGTTGCCATTACACAGCCTTAACCCACGTGACTATGACCAAAACAGACGGGAAGGACAGTGAATCCTTCGGACACCATCCCCTGTACGGGTGAAGTGTCTCAACACTGTTTGACGTGATAAACAACAAGGATTTTCTTTAAGAATCATAAATAAATAAATGAATAATATATTTGAGTGTAAATCTAAAGTTACGTTATCCATAAAGTATTGTCTTGATTTTTTGGACATTATTTTCTGATGCTACAAAGTTGAAGTGGTGCAGTCTGATTTCAATCCAACCTACTGACCTGCTATTAATAGTGATTTCTATATTACTCTCTATTTACAGAGTCTACATAAAAATGAATGGGGTTTGAATATGAGAAGTTCTTTTATTCAAGTTTGCAGTGCATTCATAGTCAAAATATTATTGGCAAGTAACACATCCACAGGTAATCAAAGCCTGTGGATGTCTGAACAGTATTGAGAGCAAAAGCAGGTGGAAACAACCTGCTGTTGGTTTCACACTGCAAACGTAAGACCCTCTGTGTAAGTTGTTATCTGCTGCATTAGCGGGGTAGCTAATGGCTTGAATTACCCAAAAGTTGTCAGCCATTCACAAAGGGAAAATCTGATGGTCTTGATGACAGATGGTATCTCAGATGGGTTTTGCGATTACATTTGTATCAACTCATAATTTACAACCGAAACAAGATTTAGGAGTTTTATCCCTGATTTTTCCCAAACTTCTGAATTTGTCGTCTGAATTAATCAAACAAGAATTCAGCTTATTTTTTTGTAATAGTTTTTAGGCCTTATGGCTTCATTTGGACAGACAAGACATGCAGGAATGAAAGAGAAGAAATGAGCAACTTCTGTATGTGTTGGGGTTTTACTCATAGAGCTAATCCGGCGCCCCAAGTTTGCTGTTTGTTTAAAACAACAACGCAGATCAATGCTTTCACTTTAATTTAGAAATGACACACTGTTAATAGTCAACATTCATATTAATTAATATATTTCATTTGATCATGTTGGACACCGAACATAAAGACAGTATTCACCAAACCATAGTTCCTCCACTTCCTCTGTCAATCATGTGATCTGTCCATCCGTCAGTTCATCATTTTCCCAGGGTTGCAACCACCTGTAAGGAGCCAGGAATTCATAATCTCCCCTGCCTCTCCTATCACTGCCTGAGCCTCATTATGAGGATCCATTATGGACGCCAGCAACATTAGCGGCAACATATGCAAGCAGATTGCCTCAGCCAAACATAGCGCATTATTCTGGCCCATTAAAGGAAGTCATTTACCTTGATAAATAGGTAGAGGCTGAGGGGAATTGAAAAGACACATGGGGACCCTCTCCCTCACTTCATCTTTCTCCCTCTCCTTTGCTCCAATTTTCAGCCCTGCATCCTGAAGAGCTCGTCTGCACGCTCTCTTTTTTCCCATTTGATGCTCCTGCCTGCATTAGCATTAGCGCGAGCGTCCTCATATGTGTGCTTACTCTCTCTCTCCTCTTTGAGCCTTATTGCCTTCTCAACTTGTTCCCATCCAAACTTTGTGCAGCACTGCTGAACAGCCAAACTCTTGGCTTCCACTCCTCTCCTCCGGTTTTCTAAATTTCATTTTTTATGCCAGGGGCTGCGTTTGAAGGAAGGAGGGAACAGCAAGAAAGAGTGGGAGAGAGGGGGGAAGAAAAGGACAGGGTGTGTTAATTGGAGCGCCTGAGGCGAGAGGGATGGAAGGAAGAGGGAGAAGAGGGAGAGGAGGCCCAGATTCAGGGGCTTCGAAACATTAAATATTAACACCTTTTCTCATCTCTGCCCCCTAAGTGACATCCACTGATTGGGTTCTCTCTCAGTCGATCAGGACACACACACACACACACACACTCATACACACACACACACTCTCCCTATTTTTTCCACTTTTTCACCAAATTGAGTTCCCTCTGAAAATGAAAGGCAGCCAGGAGGAGACATAGCTGGGGTAATTGGTGGACCCTCTCAGTTTTGTGCCCTTTGATTCAAAAAGTAATGAAATTCCGCTTGATATTTTTATCTGATCTTTCGGTGTGTTCACCGGCTCGGCCTTGCTTTCCTTTTTTGCCACCTGCGCTGTGGTGAGACCTTAAAGTGAGCTCTAATAGGAGCAAGACACCGGCTATTGTGGTGCTAACTGACTGTAAATGGAGTCACGAGTAATAGCAGCCGACTTATGTCAGCTCAAAGATATTAGCTGTTACAAATTGCTCAGATATTCCAAAGAGAGAGAGAGATGATTTCAATTTTCCTCTAATGGGGAAGGACATTCAGAGAATCCTTTGGTTTATCACTGACACCATTTATCAAAGTGGCTTTAGCAGAAGCACTTACACAGCACTAAAACTCACTAGACTCTTGCATTCAAAGCTCTATTTATAATCTCTTTACACATTAGCTTTGTTTCTTTATTTCCAGTCATGGCTTTTTTTTTTTTTTTTTGCAGAGCGGGGCGGAAGACTGCAGTGTCAGCGCCACAGATTCGTATTCCGCTCATGCACTCCTGTCTCCGTTTTTTTTTTCTTTTTTTCTCTTGTGTTTTTCTTGTCCTTCCTCCTACCATCCATCCTTGTCCTCATTTTGTTCTCCTGACTCACTGGCTCATGTTCACAGAGGACAAACACACCCCCTTCACACACACACTCATTGACCACACAGCTCTAAATTCTCCCTTTTGAATGGGGCTGACTTCTCACCCCGTTGCCGAGACAACAGAACCGATGAGGGGGAATCTCTTGTTGGACAAAAGAGTGTGTGAGGGGCCGACCTTGTTGCCCACTTCACACTGTTTGTCTTGAGCCCCTAAACTGCCTTGTGATGACACAACACACACACCACTAAAGCTGTGATTTATCTGTCGCTGTTGCACACACTGTGATGTTACCTCTCTGCCCTTTTACGCCAAAAACAACACACACAAAGAGACACACACTCCTACTGTTTGACCGGCAGCCCTCGTTTGCAGAACCGTTGGGCTTTTTGATGACTTAGACCCTTGCGTTTTATAGCACTTGGTGGAATATGCAGAGGCTAACATTGCTGGGTTTATGGCCATGGAGAAAACGGATGTTTACCCAGGCTAACTGCTAATAGCTTTATGTTTGACTCAGCTGCAGTCAGCGTCAACGAAAAGGTCTCTGGGAACATCAGTCCTCACCTAAACTCGTGTCCTTTTTCCCGTCTCTCACTGCTAATCAAATCAGCTTCATTCAAAGCATGCTTTACACATCAAACGAGAAAGAGGAGGCATGGCTGTGAGAAAGAAAGTCAAACCTTAAAACTTCAGCCTGACGGACAAGACAAATCGGGCTACAAAACTTTCCAAGAATGAGAACAAAAGCAGGAAAGGTCACAGGATTGTTACCTAACAAAAAAATCACTACTTTTCTCTTCTCCTATCTAGAACACGCTCACACATATACAAAGCGGCTGGTTTTAGTGACAATAAATAAAAACAGTCTCCTCCTCTTGACTCAAATGACCTGCACAACTAGCTGCAACCTGAATGTGTGTGCGCTTGTGTGTTGCCCGAAGGTCCCAGGTGTGAATTTTACTTCCACTCAGATGGTACGTCGCTACAAGCCCAGACAGGAGAGGACAGACAGCCCCCACTTCATACCCTGTAATTGGACTGGAAACAGCTTAGCATGTGGCATCTGAACATCCGGGATCTGCTATCTCACCTTTAATCAAAACCCCCCCTCTGCCCGCCTATTTCCAACACGTACATCTATAACACATAACCCTCATAAACCTTTCTTATAAAAACGAAGGCGCCCTGTTTTGTCAAGCAATGAAACAAGAGCATCAGAGATATTATTGTGTATGATTCCTATTAGAGGCTCAGATATCATCTTTGAAGCACAACAGACCTCGGCTATCCACTGTGAGAGTTATGACTGCAGAGGCTTTAGAACGGCTTGTGATCAAACGGTCAGATGAGATTTATAAGACTGAGTCCTGATGCTCTCATTGCTGTAATTGGTACTTTAGAGCACTCGGATCCATTGGGCGAAAAAAAAAGGAAAAATCTTGAGAAAGTTTTCTGCCAATTCTTGTGAAGTAGATTGCAGTGAAAGTCTTCTCAAGGAGTTTTTTCTTTCCTCTTAACTTCTCTCTTTGCTGAAGATACAACAACAAACGCAGCGGAAGTCACAGGAGGTTGTCTTTGACAGAGATCATCAAGGACTAATATGACTCCAGTATTAAGGCACTTGAAGTTTTTTATCAGTCCCACTCGGGGAAATGTCCTTTCTCATGTATTCTTATGAGCAAATGGAGACTCAAGAGGAAACACAAGTGAAGCATCAAAGGCAAACACAGTCGTATATTTCTATACATGTCTGAACAAACCAAGACAGATTTAGACGTTAGCAATTTGTAAAGAATAAAATTTGTGAATTATCTTCTGTGTTAAATGAGAACATGGAGGCAGTATTGGTCAAACTACTTGTAAAAAAGTAGAAAAATTAACTACTTATTACTCCGGAGCTCAGTTTTACCACCCTATAGCTAACCCTCATGATAAATGTAGCAAAATACAGCTACATGCAACATCAAAGCTATAATCCATTGACCTGGATAAACCTTGTTTTATAAACCGGTCATGAGACGAGCCGAAATGTCTGAAATAAGAAGCTACTAAGAACTTATCCTCTCCATCCCAGCTGGATAGAAATCACCTATACTTCCTTTAAGTGTAGTCAATAGACTCTAATATGCACATGAGGTGGCCTAACTTGTGCAACGCTGTGGACAAATTGCCATTTGGTGTTAGCAGATTGACTTGTCGATTACCCTGTTGTTGCTCTCTTAGAATAACTTATGCTCAAGTTTCTACTTATTCATCAGCAGTGAAGACGTTGTTAAAAACTGACTGTCTATAAATGAAGATGACATGCCGCCATTGCCTCCCCTGTGTAAAAATAACAAAGCCAAAATAGCGCCTCAATAGGCGATGACATCTTGTGCTTTTGATGTATTTTTGGGATAAGGCATGGGCTGAAGCTGCTGATGGAGCCGCAAAATAGAGGCCATGCACTTTGCACGTCTCCAAGTGCATGTTTTACTTTTAGATATAAATGGTTAAGATCAGTAAGGTCCAGAGCAGAACAAAGTCTCAACTCTTGTGTGTTTGTCAGACTCTGCCAGAGGTGTGATATTTAGCCCTTTTTAATATCCAATGAATGGTTAAAGCCTAACTTTTCTGGAAAAATTAACAATTGCACATAAACCAGACTATTTATATGTATCTTTGTATAAGATTTATCATTTATTCATACTTAACAGTTTGATTTCAAAACCACCAAGCTCTGGAAAAATGTGATTTGACTACTACTACTGTTTCCAGTGTTGTTACTACCCGACACTCCAGGGCAGCCTTTACACTTTGTTCAAGATATTAGTAATTTTTTTTATAGCTGATTAATGTCTGCTCACAATTGCTGCATGTGCGCCACAGCACAGCAGGATATCAAATGTATCGCTAGACTACAGGCGATGTCTGCAGGCAGAACTTTGGCCTAGTTGGTGCAGTTTTTCACTTCCTTTAGAACAAGACTGTTCTGTTCAGCACAAAGGATCGAGGGAAACTAAAATTTCCTGTCCCTTCCATTTCTGTCATCTCCTATTTAGTTATTTTCCCATTTTCTTTTCTTTTATTTTCGTAGCCTTACCCAGTTGGTCTTTCACCAACAATGGGATGTAATCAGCTCTGTATATATCACCAGCTTCCTGCTAAAAGCTCAACACTTAATAGGGCACCAGCCTACATGGCAGCACTTAGTCTGCTATACATGGCTCATGTACAGATGCACTTTCCAGGTGTCCAAGGAGACATACAGTAACAGTGAGTGTGAACTCTATCTATTTACGTCACTATCTATCTATATATATTTATATATATGTACAGTACATGTGTGTTTTCACTCTCCGTCTCCTTGGTTGCTGAAAGTTTTCCTCCTACAAACTCTCCAGGTCTGTAAGCAGGTTGAGAAACTTCCTCTCTCTCTCCCTCCTCATCCGTCATCTGTGTGCGTGTGTGTTCCCGCTCTGTGCCTGTCTTTGTCACTCTCTCCTCTGCCCTCTGCATGTGGCATTCATTGTTGGTGACTGTGTGTATGACTGCGTGTGTGTGTGTGTGTGTGTGTGTGTGTGTGTGTGTGTGTGCTTGTGTGTGTGTTAAAGCAGCAGCTGCTGTTCCTGGGCTGCACCTGTTCTTGTCTCATCAGTCAGGCGTTGACGGAGTCCAGGCCTTACATGGACCCACCCCCGACTCTGGAAGCCTGACCCAGCCTGCCCCCTCGATCACACACACATATACTCCCACTGATACACGCACATAGTGTATATATATCATACAGTATATATCATATGTACCATACTGTAAATTCAACAGCTATCCAAACTACCCAGGAAATGAAAGGCTGACATCTCTTTTAACTTTGCTCCCACAGAATTGCAGACCAGATTTTTCACTTTGTTGAGTTTTTGTAAATTTTGTCCACTTTAGTATCGATTGCAAACTTTCACAAACAGCCGTTTAAATCGAATTTGCAAAGTGAGCACTTGTTCAGGAGCCTCTTTCTGCTTATTTTCCATCTCAAAACTGGTCCTCTTAGCTGATATGGATCGAGTTTGCTCACTTAAGTCAAACTCCCCTTGCAAAACTAAATTTCCTGAAAAGTGCAAACTGTTCCCATGTAGCAGTTCAGGCAGACTAATGTGAGGGCTGAGCGAATATGAAAGGGGCCGTAAACACAGGATTTGACTTCCATCCAGTCTGCAACATTAAGAGGCCATTACCAGAGGGAGACAGCTAAGGGCATCCTGCCACACCCCCCGGCCACAAACTGTACTCACACTCACTGAGAGCCTGGCATGTGATGACTCCACCGTGTGTCAGTGAGTTTTGTCTGCGGTGATATTAGCCCTTACAGCTTGTGGTGGGAGTGAAACCACATTTATGCTTGTGGACACGTTTGTGGTCCTGCCATGTGTCTGTGGCGTGGAAATGGATTTTTCACATTAAAGCCACCATTACGACTCAGGACAGTTGTGTCGTACACTTTCAGACTGCGTGGTGCTTTAACATACCCTGAGATTAACCGTGGTAACATTCCTCCTCTCAGCCTATGATGGATAATGAGAATGATGGAGCGCTGAGTCACAAAATACTTCTACTCTTACTGGAAATGTGGGGATAACAGAGCTATTGTTCAACTTTCTGGAAGTTGTCTCAAAATTAAGTGTGTCTGTCAGTGGTTGAAACTATGATAGTAGGGCTGGGCGATATGGGAAAAAGTTGATCACGATATATTTTTTCATATCAGTCCATATAAATATATATCACGAGATAAAAAACGAAATTTAACAGTTCTTATTGGTAGCATGTCTTTTGCAATACAATAAGCTACTGCATCTGTGTGGTCTTTGTGTCAACGCTTTGTCGTAAGGTGTTGCGCTAGAGAAATCAGACTGAATGGTCGGCTGTTTTGGCTGCACAGGTGCCATGGGCTTCACTTGGGGTTTGTAACCTTTTGCAGTGCGCGTGCTCTGCCGCGTGGCACAACCTCAGGTGGTGAAAGAGATTTGAGGTATTCCCCAACTTTACGAGAACATGTGCTCAACATAATTTGCAGTGTACTTTACTCTGCTTCATGTCCAACCTCAAAAAAACAAAATACCTCCACACCAGCGACGTTTTCATGCCAGTGTTGTTGACGATGTCATCATCTGTTGAGCCTTCATCTGCATTTCTGCTGGGAGTAACACTCTTTGCCTTTTTTTTTCTCACCTACAGTGCTGTCAGCTTCACGTGTTAAAGTGCTATGATTGCGTGTAGCTGCATCCTGCTACTACGCGGTTGTTTGCTACTTGGTTCTAATTCAGCACACGATTGGTTCAGCATGGACCTGGAGTAACTCCCCTTTTCATTGGCTATTTGTATAGCCTACCTAAACATGGCAGAATGCTGGTAACGAAAAGCATATTGACCATGTTTTATATTGATATCGAGGGAAATTAATTTTCGATACATCATCTTTATTGTTTTATCACCCAGCCCTATACAATAGCAATGGTAAGTTGGACAAACTTGCACAGATCAATCAAATCTACATACTTTTCTTTGTCTTCTTATATCTGTAGCATTTTTAGTGTTAGCCAAACAAGATTCAATCTCTTTTTGAGAGCTTTAGAAGATTGATACACAGATTTTTTTAGACTTTCCACAGACTTGACAGTGTGAGTGGATGTGTTTGTGTTGTTGTATAAGTGACAGTATAACATCGGTGACTCAGTCCTCGTGACATTGCGGCTGTTTCCTCTGCCGCACAGCGCTGTTTGTTTTGCCAACAGCCAAACACACTAATCCTGTTAGAGGCCAAGGATGGTTTGGACCACACACACACACACACACACACACACGCTCACACACACACACAAAAATACACTCTCAGGTACATACACACCTTCAGATAACCTTGTCTAAAGGGTGCAACATTTGTCCTTTTAATCTGTTCCCTCACTTTATAGATCAGACCCTGCAAACACTATCTCAGTGTTTGCAGTGGTGCAGATCCTTCTTCTGCGTGTAAAACTCTTAGACTGTAATATAATACACTTCCAACACCCCTAGCACCATCATGCAGGTGAATACAAGTCATCCATTTCTCTTCGGTGGAGTGGTGTTTGGGTTAGCAGGCAGACAGGGGAGGGAAAACCTTCATGGTGGCTTCCTAAAGAGGTTCTAGTCCCTCTTCTTATGCTCTACCTTTCTGTCCTTTTTCTAGATTTCTTTGTGCCTGTCTTTTTGCTCTCTTGCAGCCTCTTTTTTTTTCTTTCTGTTTTGCACATGCGCAGACAAGCCTCCTGAGTGAGTTTGTGCTCTGGGTATTAAAGAATGCTCTTTGAGAATGAGGGATGAAAGGGGGAGACGGACAGAGAGAAGAAAGAGTCTTCTGGTTTTAATGTCTGGAATACAACAGTAGCAGGTGAAGGGGGGGAGAACAAGGGAGGAAAAGAGGACAGGGGAAGAGGATCCAGCTGGTTTATTTCATAATGAGGGGCACTGGCTTGGCTGTGTGTGCCGGATCTAATATAAAAATCAGACACAGAGAGAGTATTGAAGATGGTTTCACATTAACTTTTCAGCAGATGTGGGACTGACACCACACTCTAGGTCTCCTCCACTCTGCAGCGCTGCTTTGACTGCACTCTTGGATCTTTTTTTTTTCAAACGCACTTTACTTAACCGGAGCTTTTTGGGGTGCTTCTGCTGCTCATAAATATCCCATGCATTATAGATCTACTGTAGGAGAGAGTGTGTGTTTGTGAGTGTGTGTCTGTGTGCAGGTCACAGCCTGACCGTCTCGTTCCCATCTGTCTCCCTACCCGGTCATGCACCCCATCACACACCACCTCACACACACTTTCCCTCTCTTTGGCTAAATCCGATTAGCTGGCCTGCGTCAGCTAACGAGACCCCCATGAAGCTGGCCCGACCCCCCCCACCTATACCCCACCCCTTCAACAACCTCAGCCACTCTCTCTCTCACAAACACACACAGACACACAAAGTGACTGCCAACAGCCTGCAACTCTGAACACACACACACACACACACACTCCCCCTTATATTGGACAGAGGACTCCCTAATTAGACTTTAATTGTCTGTCTCTGTTCGTGCAGCTGCTTCATGTGTAATACACAGAGCAGCGGGCTGACTGATCACTCTGGACCAGAAACAAATTGTGAATGACACCAAAAGATGTGTTTGAAAGGCAGATAAGATCCAGACTGATTATAAAATTAAAAGGGATAGAGAGAGGGGGGACGAGAAAAATGCCACGTGTCGCCGTGTAAACTGACCTCTGGCAATCATGTTTTAAGAAATTTAAAGGTCCTGCTACTGACCAAACCCCAATTAAAAGATGAAAGAAAAAATGAGCCAGATACTAATTTATAAAGAGCTACAAAAGCCCTCCAAACACCCTCAGCAGATAGCCGACTCTGTGATTAATACTCGCACTTTCAGACAGTCTGTTTTAGCTGTTAGTCTGTGACTTTTATTACCCCACAGCAGACTGAATTCGGGTTTGCAGCTGCTTCTAAAAGTGAAGATTCAGCAAATTTAATTATGTTCTATTATGTCTGGCAGATTTGTGCCAGAGGCTAAAGAATGAGCACAAAACATGACACAATAAGGACACACAGCTGTTTCCAGAGGAAGTGAATGTGATCTTTTATTGTGTGACTTGCAAAGCTAAAAATAAGCAGTCGGTAGATTAATTGCTCGACGGAAAGGCCGTGACTCCACAGGTGACACTGACTTCATCTCTAAGCGTATGACATAGGACTTCAAAGCTATACATACTTGAGAGTAACTGTAGAACAGACTCCAAATGTGAGCCTGTTCTTAGTATAGATGTTAGCACGCAGATATTTAGCGGTCTCCCACTGGGACTCACCCTCTCACCCCTAGACCTGACAGAGATCCCTACGGTTTAACAAAGACACAGAACATCATGGACCTGATGTTGTAAATCAACAGAAACAACAACGTGGTATCAGCAAAACCTGTCAGGTGACTTGCTCTCCCATTCTCGTTCTCTGGTTGAAAACTGATTGTGATCAACCACTAGTAATAACACTTTCCCTTAGGGCTGGGTGATTAACTGAAAATTTACCGATAACGAAATTTACGACAATAACCGACGTCGTTTTGCCCATATCGGTATACTCGGTGTGAAAATAAATAAATAAATCAAGTTAATGTGGGAGGGGGTGGGGAGCTTGTGGAGTAGTTATCGTCCATTAATTGTTATCAAGGTTAACTGCTCAATATATCGTGATATTGATTTGAAGCCATATCGCCCAGCCCTAACGTGCAGACAGACACTCTGTTTCCTGTGTTGTACACAGCTTTGATTTTTTTTATTTAACTTGTATTTTTCTTTGTTAATCATCAAGTTTTTGTATTTGAATTAACAGGAACAACAATGTGGTATCAGCAGTATCTGTCAGCTGACTTGCTCTCCCATTCCCAGCACGGGCGTCATTATGGGTGGTTAAAAACTGATTGTGATTAACCAGGAGTCATAACACTTCTCCTTTAGTTTTTGGATCACAAAAGCAGAATGAAAAGATGCTTATTATATACTTTTTTTTTATTTGTAGCCAATACAGTATATTTTAAATATGATGTCACTCTAAAGTCCAACATTGCTGACACTAAATAGCCATTATAAATCCATATTTCAGTCCTTGAACTCCTGTTTAAGTTTTATGACTATGATTTTTGCTTAAAATCTTGTTGTAAAACATGCAACAATTGCTTTTTGATAAGACTCCCTTAAAATCAAAGCAACAGACTCAACGGGCCAAGTTGCAGTTCTGCATATGACTGTTATAATAAACCCCTTGAAACTTGTAAGCCTGGGAAAACTAACCGTCCAAACCAGTGAGCAAACAGGTTTCGAGGTTTTTATTTAGTAAGGTCCAACACCTACATTTGCTTTGCGTAATGCAGGAAACCACAATCAGATTTGGATCTCCATTAAAATCGATCTTAAAGGGGATTGACAACCTACCAATGTGCTGACAGGAAGATGCATTGCACACCATCCTGTTGTTTCAAAAAAGAAAACAAAAAAAAATCTGAGGTTAGAATTCAGGTTCTCTCTGCATGTGCCAGCGAATCACTTGATTTAATGCGGTGTGTTGTGCGAGTGTGTATTTTTCCCATGCACCACTTAACGAGACTCTTAAATCCTGAGTGCTGCCTGAAAGCACACTGCTCCGTTTACTCGCACATTCTTGTAAGTTTGCTCGTCTGCCTCGCTGTTTGTGTTGGCGCGGAAACAGAGGCAGATTTTCTTTTGGGCCACATCCCTCTCGCGAAGTCGGAACATGAGACTCGGTTTGTTAAACTAACGTTGTTTCCCCTGAGAGTCGCTGAGCTAATAGAACAAAATATTTTTAAAAAGGGAGAGCGGGATACTGGAGAGACTTGGAGAAAGAAAAATAAAGAAGTGCGTGAGGAAGTTTAGGAGCGGGGTATAAATAGAAGCGAGGGAAGTGAGAATGTGCGTGAAAAGGAAGCGAAAGAATACAAAAGTGAAGCGAGACATGAGGTTTTTTCGTTGAAAGTCAACGCTTATCTGACCTTTGACCTCAGTGTGGTTTGAGGGTCAATCACAGCATGTGACCTTAGAGGAAAGTGTCTCACTCACTCACTCACACAAAACACTGTGTGTATCTTTGACAGCTCTTTCTATTATCTCCTCTGTATGTACCCTCTGCCCTCTTCATCCTCCTCTCTTCCTCACAGCATAGTGATAACAAGGCCGTCATCCCTCAGCTCCTCTCCTCTCCTCTTGAGCAAACAGCCTTTCATCTTCGCTGTCTGAATTTCCCTGCCCTGTTATTAAAACTAGCCTGTCAAACAAACTGTGATTCCCACAAGTCCATCCACTCCCCTCTCGGCTGTTTCGCACAACAAATCAATTATTTAAGTGTGGATTTTGTAGTCCAGAATTGACGACATGATTAATTTATGTTTGAGTACTGGGCTGGGTTTTTCATTAGCAGAGTGCTGTATATGTCTGAAATGTGAATATTAATAAGAGGGGAGATCTTTTGCTTTTTAATCGAACTCACTCCACCAAGAAACATTCTTAGTGGAATAAAAGTATTTTGCTTCTTTACTTACATATATGTAAATATTTTATGTATATCGTACCCATTAATTCTTTACAGGACGGAAACTCTTGTTGTTTATCCCTGTGCTAATCCATTATATCACCCTTTCACCCTGTGTATTCTTCCCCGTGACTATTATATAAAATATTCTTATTATAATTTGTTGAGGAATATGTTTTAAACAAGCCTGATAAATAGTATAAATCATATATTGATACTTTACTTCACTAAGTTGAGTGTCTAAGACTGCAAAAGAGACGTTGCAGCTTAACCCCGGTCGCATAAACAACATTGTCCTTCCTTCACCGTTTGTTACACATTAGAGACTCACACTAGCCTTCATGTGTTCCTATACCACAGGATTTATGACACTGTATGTGCTGCACTCACTTCATTAGCGCAAATGGAGCTACTACCCCTTCCCCTGTTACTCCTCCCTGTAATGCAATCTCCTCGTCACGTTGTTACTGCATAGCGAGATCTACAGAGAGTTACAGAGCCATAGTGTGCTTCCTATCCCCCTGCAGGATCCGGTTTGGATCCAGCTTGTGCCCTAGCTGCTTCTCTCCCATTGATATCTAGGACACTATGTGCATCTTAATGTGTCTGTTGAATGGAAGATACTGACAGTGACTGACTCAGAGTCCCTGAACGGTTTTTACTGCAGTTCATATACCTTTAAGAGAATACCGATACTTGTAGCTTTCTATGTTTGCAGAAAACAGCTGCTGAAGTCGCAACAGATGCTAATGAGAGGGGAAACTTTTGTTATGACTAAGAGTGGAATCGGTATCATGTGATCAATTTAAACTTGTACAAACAAGACGTGACCTTGAGAATTTGTTTGAGTCTTTAATAACAATCTTTCTTTCTGTCTTTGCAGTATGTAGTGGAACTGTAACCGTGACTGTGACGCCCAAATTGGAAGTCGTGAAAGGAGAGACCGCCAAACTGCCCTGCACATACACAGTGTCATCACCAAGCAACACCGTCGTTGAATGGTTCATTGTAAGTCCTTCACTTAAGATTGTTTTTAACAGGAAGCAGCTTTTCTGGCAACAATCTGCTCCATTACTCCTCATGCTTATCCACTCTCTGACTGCATCTCCATCTATCTTTCCATCTTCTCAGGAGGAGCAGGGAACCAGGAAGCGCGTCGCTTTCCACGCCCAGGGCGGTGAGGGAAAAAGTGATGAAGGCAGCCCTCTGTCAGGCCGAGTCTCTATCGGAGCGGACTCCACCTTGACCATCTCGTCAGTTCAACCCTCAGATGAGCTGAACTTCTTCTGCCAGGTCACCGCTGGCCCCTCTGGAGTTGCAGACGCCGCCACTATGCTTCTTGTCTTCTGTGAGTCCACCAGCACCCTCTGACCGTTTATATGACTTCAACACGACCTTTTCTAAGAGACTCACTCCCCTCTTCACTCCCCATCGGATGGTGATGTGTGGAATTTATGGTTTGATTGGTTGCTGTCACCGTAGCTAAAGGTTTACGGCTTTAATCAGATCTGCGTGTGTTCACGCATACTTTCATTTAGCTGTGCCTTAATTGTTCTAATGCATTTTATTGATTGCATTTCATACACACTTAAAATAACTCAATGATAAACCCCTGTAGACATAAATATGTAGTATCATAATATGTGATTAGTCATATTTTCTGCATTAACGGAGGAAAGATCAGGCTTAGTGTAATATTTTCTCAAAGTGTGTAGGACTTCTGAGCTCTTTTCATGCCTGTAGTAAGCAATCCCCCAGAGGTCAATTAGCCACAATCTAATCAATCTTGACACAATTGATAAATAGTTCAATCCCACCTGTCATGTCTCATATATATCACCTTAATAACAGTCCAGATTTATCACCAAGGTGCTGAGGGGCTGACCCTGGGTGCAGGCTGCTGCGTCCTTGCCCTTTCCACAAGCAAACATTAATTATATTTTTAGCATTTCGTAAACAAACCAAAGTGAAAACCAAGCAGGTTTGTGTCAGCGGAAAAGCAAAATAACTCAACTTCAGTTCCGTTCACAAGTTATCCATTAACATTTACGCTCTCTTAGTCTCTGAGGTTTGAAGTAATGTCATAAAATAAACTATTAATCCTGAATGGGGCCAGTTAGTGCTCAACAATGCTTTAATCCAGCTCTGTTCAACAAAGGCCTTTTGAGATTTTACAAACCAGCGATTACCCTTTGTCCGTGTTTGACCACTTAACCCATTTAAAAGATAAATTACAGTGGGTCTGTTCTGCTTTAACTTAATGGAAAGAAGTTATGAGACTTCCTGAGGATCAGTCCTGTTTCCTTTTATTTCAGAGATAAACAGACAGTACAGAGGAAAGAGTAAAACGGATTTGAAAAACACAGTGCACTCAAACCGTATTGGAAAAGCAAATTAGAGGAGTTTTTGCCATCGTTGAGCAGATAAAATAGCATTTGGAAGTCAAGAGTTCTCAGTATACATCGAAATTGCTTTTTGTACATGCAGTCATACCTCGAGGGAAGAGGAAGGTTGTTAAAATACCTCAGCTGATTTGGAAACAGCAACAAAAACAATTCTTAAAAAACTGAGCGAGTGAGACCGCGAGAGGAATACCCATCTACTGTTTATTTTTATAAGCAGTCGACAGCTGCAGGCGGTGATAAGATGACCTCGTATGTGAACAGGAGAGCAAGGGGAAAGGAAAGTAGAGAAACAAGAGGGAGCTCACACCTGTGGCTGAGTTTATATGTGTGTTGGAGTCAGTGATTTTTGTTATTTGACCCTTATCAGCTCATGTGAACCGGGTCACAGTGGAATAACGTGGAGCAGAATATTTACTGCTCCACTTAATTAGCAAGGTCAGCAAGGCATGTAGGCTGGGCCGCATGTGTGGAAGTGGAGTGTGGGAGTTTGTGTGAGTCTGTGTGAGTCTGTGTGAGTCTGTGTGTCCGTGCTAAAGGTGTTCCTTCCAGCGTATCATAATGATTTAATAATGATTTCCTTTCCTTCCCTTTTCCTGCTTTAGTTGCTCCCGAGAAGCCTGAACTCACAAGGCCGTCAAGTCAGGCTATCACCGCAGGAGAGACCACCAGCTCTGAGGTGTGCAGAAACTCTCTCTTACTGATTTCATTCAAACAATGAAAACACACATTTAAGGCTGGTTTACTTTTGTCTTGGCATATCAGATCGGCACCTGTGTGACGAAAAACGGACACCCGCAGCCAAGAATCATCTGGTTCAAGGATGACCAGCCCCTGCCAGAGATCAAGGATAGGAAAGAGAGTAGGTGTCCACTGGCTATCTCATGATACAACAAGTCTAATAACCCCCAATTTCCACCACATCCGATTTAAGCCATCCGCTAAGTCCTACCGAATCCGTTAGTGAGGTAAATTTCGTGGCGGATTACAGACAGCGGGAATCACGAGAACTCACAAGAACCCAATCATGTGCAATCTCGCAATGATGAGTTGTCTCTATAAAGACAGCCACATAACCATATAAGCAGTAGATTGTGTCCTTCCAGAGGAGGAAATCCACTTCTAGATTTCTAGAGTCAGCATCTCCTCATCCATGGTGTCATTGGGGTGAAATGCTGTCTAAAAACCTTTCACTTGTTCGTCCCCGCCCGTTTGCATAGAGTGAAATATGATCCACCTGAAACATGTAGTGTTTTATTTTGAAAAGAAGCTGGATATTTTATTTTGTGTCTGTGCCGGACTTCCTTTCCAGCACGGACTAACCTGTGGTGAATTCATGTGGCACAAAATAGAACTTTTACAATTGGCAGCAGACTCAAAAAGAAGCCAGGGGAAATTGATACATTAACTTTATTGGAAATGATCAGCTACGATTGAAAGATACGGCCTTTTCACAGTCGTTCCGGATGCGGTGGAAGTTGGGGGTAAGTCTATCAATCAAGTTTAAGATTAGTGAGCTCTGATTCCTTCATTTTTCCTCTCTTTTAGAGACCTACATGATTCCCTCTGTGGTTAAGGAGGCCTCAGGTCTCTTTACTATCAAGAGCACCCTGTACATGCAGCCAACCAAGGAGGACAAGGACTCTGTGTTCCACTGCACCGTGGAGTACACTATGCCAGGAAACCAGATTAAACAGAAGAAGTCCAACACTATCACCATCAACCTCAACTGTGAGTGGAGTGACAAAACCATGTTTCAATTAAGTTAACTTCAAAGGTGCCGCTAAATGGATTAGCTAGTTTCAAGCAAACCCAAGCTAGCTGATTTCACAGGTTTAGCCTTTATGGTTAGCCAAGCTACCTTAATGCTTAATGTAGCTTCAAATCTGGGAATATGAAAGATTTTCTCATGTCGAGAACCTGCCCTGGATACTGTACTGATATAAGCTAGCTGGCTAGTTAGTAACAGATGATTTGCCCTGCCCCCAATTATACCAAACTCTTCAAAACTTCAGAGTAATAAAGTAACAACCCCCCCATACAGTGTTTGCAGACGGAGAGGTGAGTCTTTCAGTCTATTTTTGTTTTTGTATCAGGCTGTGAAGGTGTTTATTTCCGCTGTAATGATGAGCTTTTAAGAATAGGTGTGTACGAGGCTTTTGAACTCTGCCTCAAGTGGACACTCAAGGAAGTACAGTTTTTGATACTCTCACATTGGCTTTATTTCTCAAGACCAGAGTTAGCATGTTAAAGGGATATTCTGGCGTAACATTAATTTAGGATCAAACACACTGTAAGTTAGACACCCCTTGAGAAATGAATGTTGTTGACCGCTTGCTTCTCTAGTTATACCAACTTTCGTAACGACCGCACGATAGCAATACACAGCGGTCTAAGGAACCATAAACAAACCTCAACCAAAGCGCCACTCTATAGCCACAAATAATGCTCAGAACAGCACCTAACTTCATCAACAGTACATATAGGGTCCCAGCCACAGCACTAGCCACCAAACATCTTTTTAACTTTGCCTGATTTCTTTAGCAAAGAGACTAAACACAACTCTCCTACTCTCTTACAGCAGCCGCTTCTTTGTAGCGAGACCTCAGGACAGTCCATTATGGACTACAGCGGGGGGACGCAGCTCAAGGGAGAACATTTATGATCTCTCGACAGGGTGTCTCACTCGGTGTTACGATGTGTTTGACCCTAAATTAATTTTACGTCGGAATATCCCTTTAATGTGTTCATGCTGTTGATGTTAAGCTGTTTTTGTTTTTTTAATTCTAGCATGCAAAAATGAGCAAAGTAATAAAAGGAGCATAGCAGTGTTTAATGAGAATTTGATCACAATCTCAGAGCAGTAGTGCAGCACAGACGGCTCAAACTCTTAATCTGGTATGTTTATGCTCCGTCTTTTTGTGCTTCTCGTGTTTCTTTGTCTTCTAAATATCAACGTATCAAATTTGTCATGGTAATCAGACAGCCTTCACTGTCCTCTTCCCTTCATGGATTCATTTTATTGATTATCTTTCTCCCCACCACATACTGAGTTTTAATTCAATGACTTATGAGGCGAAGAAAAGTGACTGTGCCCATTTGGAATGCATTGCAGATCTCTAATGTATGGCATACAGTGTAACTCTGTATGTGTATAAGTCCACAGGACTTATTTTCACCTGTTCCATATCTGTTCTTGTCCATCTAGATCCCTCTGAGAAAGCGACCTTTACCCTCCTCAACACCGATCCGGTCAAAGAGGGCGACACTGTAACCATGAAATGTGAGACTGACGGAAACCCTCAGCCTGAGTTTGACTTCAAGAAGAATGTATGTGTTGCAAACATTTTCTCTCGTTGGTCTAAATTAATGCACAAAGACGATTATCTGTTTCACTCCCCTGCTGAGACTCTCTCTCCTCTCCCTCTCAGGGTAAAGAGATCAACGGTCAGGGCGGTCTCCTGGTCCTCAAATCTGTCAAACGCACAGATAATGGCCTGTACGAGTGCAGAGCCACTGATTTCGATAACATTGAAGCCGACCTGTCTGGAAACATCACCATCACTATTCACTGTGAGTCAACACAAACAGATGGAGACACACATCTGTAGATTAAAATACTCATGAATAAAGAACTATCTTCCTCTGTGAAGTTCCCCTTTAGCAGTATTGATTAATAATTGAAGTATAAAGGGAAAAAAGGAGTGGGTTGAAATGAAATCCTTTCAAGAGCCTGATATCCAATTCCATTTTTCACAGTTCATCTGTTACTTTAATCCTATCCCAAGTACACTCCCTAATTTGATCGTATCACACTCATTACATGGAGATAGACTACAAATGGCATTGAATAGGCTTAACTTGGCCTTCTAAATAGGCTTAACTTCAGAGTAAGTGCATTAGCTTTGTACTGACATAAAGAGCAAAATATTCTGCTTAGTGCAGCTGTTTTTTTGACCGCCTTATTACATGGTTGTTTAAGAGATGAGAATCTCTTTGATCAGGAGTGCTGCTTTAACTCCCTACATTGAATGAAGACTGAGGTTTCAGGTACCGCTCTCCTTCTCAATAGCTTTCTATTCCTCCTCTGTCAGACATCGACCCAGTGAATGTGACCCCTGCCCTGCCTCGGGACGCCATGCTCGGGGACAAGGTGGAGTGGCAGTGTAAGACCAAGGCCTCCGCTAAGCACACCGTCCAGTGGAAAAAGGTATGCGCAGTTCTTATCTCAGCCTTTCACTTTTGATGGGTAGTTGGTCTACTTTTGGAAATATCTTCATCGAATTCCTCCTGAGCAATCCCAGATATCTGTTTTTAAAAAGCAAATCTGTCATCCTCGAATTTTTACAGGACTAGCTGTTTATGTGTAAAAACGATAAAAACAAAAATGAGGTCTATCCTGGGGCTTAAGATTTTGGCAAGTTGTGATTCCGATTTCACCATGAATCAACTTTTTATCAACACGTGGTGAGATAAATTCTGTCTTCAACTCCACAGACTTTACAGAAAGATGGATGACATAAAAGCAACCAAAAAGTGAAATCAAAACATCTAGAGACTGGCTAGACTAAAGATCGTAAACCCTGGTACATGGATCAAACTATAGAGCAAAAACTCAAGTAAAAAGAAACTTAAACATATCTTATGTCATCCTAGCTAGATCCTTAAAAATTGAATTAGATATTTGATCCTTTAATGAGGGCCGTAACACTATGATTTACGGCCCTGTTGACGAATGGAGCTCCTACAGGGTTGTGTTATACATCAGCAGAGATGAGGAGGAATAAGAGCAGGGGAACAAGAAGGAAACATAACTAACACCGACACTGTTGCACTTAAACCTGTATATCTGAGTGTGTCTGCTTTAAACCAACTCAAGAAGCTGTTGTGTTTTAGATTGTACTGACCTGAGGGATTGATGCTCATACAGCAGGAAGTTAAACGTCCGTTTTAGTTATCAGAGGGTGCAGGACACTAATGCCACCTTATCAGGAATCGATCCTTACAGCGCAAGGTCTTACTTAACCAGTGCAACATTCAGGCGTCTGCAAGGAGACATATTGTCAGTTATTACATACTGCAGTCAATGGAAGACACTTTGACTAACTTTACTCAGAATGCAGCTGTTGTGCAACATTGGAGCCCATAAACAGAAGTAACAATCTGTCAGAGGACAGTTGTGGCCCATCTACAGAAGCTGCGTTGTGTGTGACTGAAGCAACTGGAGGGCAGACATTGATTTTTGTTCCATACAGCCAACGAGTACTGTAAATTGTGTTAATCAAATACCTCAATATCTTTTATAACCTTACTATCATACGAACAAACAAAAGTGGACTTCCAACGTGTAGAGTCCCTCTCATTAGATCATTGTTCGTGGTGGACATTTCTAGTGCAGTAGCAAAATTGTACCCCATGTATTGATTCATCTTTTAAAGCAGAAAAAAATCATGTATTTTTGGAGGTAAATAAAAGATTATCTGTGAACTCTTACAGTCTATTTGGAGACGGTGGTATTCTCTGTTACTGGTGTGTCAGCAGTGTTGCATTTGATATTTCAGTCTTCCTCTGTTCGCCTCTGTTTTTCATGCGCTGAGTGATCCTCCAGTGTCAGGCCTGTTGTTGTAGCCTGTGTATGTACTGTTGTGTCTCCCTGGGATGATAGAAACCCACCGGCCGCAGGTTTTCTCGGCAGAAAGCATGTTTGTTCTCAGCGAGAAGGAGAGGAATTAGGAGAGACAGGTTCATCGTGGCTGACTGACTTTGATGTGCTATCACGGTGTTTACGAACAGCATGTGTGAAGCTTCTTCTGCTTTCCCAACATAGCAGAGAGTCCTCATGTGAGATTTCTACAGCGCTGGATTTCCCTGGAATTTACACGTGGAGGAAAACAAAAGAGGAATAATAGCAGGACCCTCATTTCTTTCTTTCTTGGTGTATGTGTTCCTTCAGGGCTCGGAGGTGCTCTCTCAGGACGGCACACTGTCTATACAAGATGTTTCCTATGATAACGCCGGAGAGTACATGTGTGTTGGAGCCGTGCCATCTGTGCCAGGACTGACAGCTCAGGCTAGTGTCAACCTCACTGTAAAAGGTAACACACTTGCAAAATCTGTATACACACACAAGCTCGATGACCTACGTGTTCAACAAACCCCAGGAAAAAGCAACACCAGCACATCTATTGTTGTATTTAAATGCCTGAAACAATAAACAGTGGTTCTGGCTGTGTTAAGAACTGTTTGGTCAGAGGAAAGAGAAGCCAAGGGTGCGGCTTCCTACTCTGTTGATGATTAGATTCAACATGATATCCAATTATATCCACTTTATGCACTGTGAAACATTAAATATGAATACTTATTATGTTTTTGTGGCTGAAAAATGATATAGTTTTCAGAGGTTTGCACTTTTAAATCAAGAAAATATGCTTTTATTTTGAAAAAAACACTTTGCAGGTAAACTGAGTTTAAAGGGTGAGCATTTTTGAACAAATCCTCATTGTATATTATCAGTTTCTGAGCAAAATCCAGTGTATTATTCAACTCAAATTGACTTTACAGTTAACCTACTGTATTCACTTGCATTTTGAAGACAGCTGGAGGAGTTATTATACAGACTCGAACCAGCGTTCGATGATTTACAGTGCATGCACGTGTGTGTGTTTGAGTTTTTTTCTGTGTTTCTACCTTCCTTCACCGCTCTCTCGCTTCCTTTCCAGGAAAGCCGATGATCGAGACCCCCGCTGTCGGAGAAGTGGGGAAGGAAGGAGACATGGTGACTCTGAAGTGCTCTGCCCACGGCTTCCCCGCCCCTCAGTTCAACTGGAAGCCCTCAGGAAAAGAGGTACAGATGTGAAAACAAGCAAGACGAGGAAGATACAGCATACCATTACCTGATCTGCTTCCTTTCCTAGTGTGCAATTTACAGGAGACACTTTGTAAACAGGAGTAATTGCTTCTTTCCTGGAAGGACTTGCACACATTTAAACACAAATATAGAGGTTAAAACATGTCCTAAACAAACAGGGCTATCTCTTACACTGTTTTCATTACATTGATCATGTGAAGTCGAAGCTATTTTTCCTGAAACATCTGAAGTGGGCTGGTATTGAGCTTCAAAATACACCGAGTTGAAAGTAGAGAAGCTGCTTTCAGGAGGGCAGAGTGTTACTTTTTATATCAGATTTTATATGTGTGCAATGTGGTTGAAAAGAAAGTCCTCCATGGAGAAGATACAGAGGGAATAGAGCTTCAAAACTGAAGGTTTACAGAGACAAAAAGTTATATCAAACTTTTATGAAGCAATATGGAATAGTATGCAAGATCAAAAGAAAGATATACTTGCACAACTGCATGAGCAGATTGATGTTTAAAGGAGAATCATGCGTACGAATCTGAAACAAGCATCTGTTGGGTGTCAAAAATGATGGTAATCAGATCTAAATGTTGCTGCTCAAAATACAGTATATAAGCAGAGGATCATAGAGGGATATGGTGAATAGTATGTCTTGTGTTTTTCTTCCTCTACTTCCAGTCCATATCAGTGGAAGGCAATAAGTTGGTGAGCATGGTGACCCTACAAGCCACAGCTGAGGTCATGAAGGACGGGGTGACCTGCGAGGCTTCCAATGAGCATGGAACAGATAGCAAGACCTTCCTGGTATCTCTCAAACGAGGTCAGTATCTGGAGGTGAAAGGAGAATTTTTTTCTCCCTCTTCTTCGTCTTGTTTTCGTCTTTGATGTTCAGTTTTTGCTTTGAATCCTAAAAATCAATTGAAGTATCGGAAAGTATCTTCTTTTTTTACATCCCAAAGGTTTTACTTTTGAACTCACAGGGTTTGATGGTCTAAATTAGTCTGCTCATAAGTTTACACAAAATCAGGATTTGCAATCTCGTTGTTATTTGAAGATTTGTTTTTACTGAACACAAACTGCTAGGCGTAATTGTAGTTAAGCTAAGCTACTGCTTTACTCCCTTAGTGCCCGCCTTCGAGCGTTATGCTAAAGTCACACTACAGATGTGTCATAGCAACTAAATTTACATGTTTGGGCCTCTTTAGCCCTTAGAATAAGAGTGATAAGAGTGACGCTAAAGGACTGACGCTATGGTATGAGTTACTAAAGCTTTAGCATGAAACTAGCTTGTAGTTGCAAAGAGACTTTTAGCTCGCGTTTTAGATCCAGTTTTCTTTCGCTGTTTTATTCGCACTGACTCTTTCATCTTAACTCTGCCCTCTTTTTGCTAACCGCTTTAAAATGACTTGAATCCAAATTTTGATCTAACCGGGTTCAACCCAATCCAGGTTTCTCGTGCGCTTTTACTAGCACCTTAACATGCTAGCTAAAGCCTTTTTCCCCCTCTCTTCTCCTCTCTTGCAGCAATTGACAACTCGGCCGACAGAGGTAGAGCCTTCTCCCTTCTCCTCCTCCTCTCCTCCCTCCTACTCTCAGGACTCTTTTATGTACAGACCCTTTAATTTAGAAATTCCCCCCACCACCCAACTCTTTTTGCACCGGCCCCTCCATCACATAGAAACACACACAAACACACACAAACACACACAAACACACACAAACTCTGCTGTACTGTAATCTTGTATATTTGCCCTCTTGCTACCGAACACTGTGGATATTGTATATTGTTATTCTTCTTCTCTTGTCACCTTTGTATGATGTCTGTCCTATATTTTGTGGATGCTACTACAACTTTTTGTGGCCCCTTGGGGACAATAAAGTACTCTATTCTATTCTATTCCTTCCTTCCTTCTCTTGTTTCCTCACTGTGTCTCCTTTTTGGTCATCTCTACTTTCCGACTGCCTTCTTTTTCCTGGCTTTACCTTTTCGTCGTATCTTCTCATTGGGGTGTTATGTGTAGGATTTTCTAACCGTAGCTTTTGTGTGCGTACACTGTCAGTGGCATGCGTTGTGTGATTGTTGCTTCGCTTTTGCTTTGCTACTCGAACTGAGAAACTCTCTTTCTCTCAAAGTGCTGCTCTCTGGAAACCCTGTGCTTACGTCAGGTCTGTATCGCTAACCCTCTTAACATGTGTATGGCGTCCGTCTAGAACTGTAAGTCGCTGTGTGTAGTTATGTCTGTGTGCACACAGAGGTTAATGCATTTGTGTTTACAAGAGCTCAAGTGTTTGTGTATCTGTACTTGTATCACTGTAGCTGAGAGGACAGACATGAGGATTTGGTTTTTGTGGGGGGGCAGTTAATTTTTCCCAACATGCAACTAAACTGTTTCTCTTTTTGGCGACTGATTAAATCATAACATTAGAAAATAATGAATAATGAAACTTTCACATATATAGACCTTTATTTTGTACCCCAGGATGACTTAAAATGTGATAAATTTGGTTTAGGATTAATTTAGCTTGACAGTTTAGGAAAAGGAAGTGCCGTTGACCATGATAACTGTAGAATATACAAAAGCTATGCACCAGCTGAGTCAAGTTAACTTATGACCATAACTTTTCTGATATTTGATGGTTTGCAAATCTTTAAAATCCTTTAATTAAAATAGTGCAAGGGCAGACAAAGAGAATATCGAAACTGAAAAAAATCCTAGATAATATATAGATACTGTCTTTTGAAAAATATATGCCCCTGTTGAATTTGATGCAAGCAACACACTTGAAGACACACAAAAAAATATGTAATGCTAAAAAAGCACCTGGAGGGTCAGCTTCCAACAAATAACATTAATTTGTAACAGTTAAGAATATCTGAGTGTATAAAACCCTCAGAATTGAAGATGGAATGAGATGAACCACTCTGTGAGGGACTGGGTAAGGAAATAGAGGAGCAATCCCAGAATAATGTTGACCCTGAGCCTGAATTTGGAGAGAATTTGGGATTTCTATCAACTATAGTTCATAATAGAATCAAAAGTTTAAGAGAATTTTCAGAAATCTTTGTATAAAAGGAAACAAGATACTGATCCATGGGTCCCCAAGTGGCACTGCATGAAAAAGACAGACATGACTCTGCAGTGCAAATCACTGCATGGGCTCAAAGTAACATTCAAAAACTACTGCTTGTGGACATAGTTTGTAACTGCCTCCACAAATGCAGGTCAAACTTTACCCTGCAAAGAGTGAAAACATGTTTAACCTTGATCCAGAAATGCTGGTAACTCCTCTGGGCCCAACTAAAATGGACGAAGGTGAAGTGGAAAACTATCCAGTCGGCTAACAAATCAATAGTTGAGATTCTTTTGGAAATTATGGACGCGGCATCCTCTGATCTAAAGGAGGGAGAGACCGCCCCACTTGTTATCGGGTCACAGTTCAAGAGGCAGTAACCCTGATAGTATATGTTCAAGTCTAGTTTTACACTCCTGTGAAGGCTCCCCACAATTTTTCAGTTTCAACATTATATATGTCGTCTTTGCATTGTTGTCAAATAATTAAAGGGTTCAGTTGATTTACAAACCATCCAAATCTGTTATTGATCAACATTTTATACAGCATCCCAGCTCTCATGGTGTTGGGTTTGTGCATGTATTGTTATGTTTTAGTATAAGAAGAAGAACACCAAATCTGAAATGAAGGTAGCATGTTTGTCCTCACAAGTATGGTGATACAAGTGTAGGTGGATGGGTGAGTATGTTCAGTGTTGTTTTCTGGCTCTGGTCAGCTGTGTAGTTTTATTTGTGTATATTCAGACCCTGTTTTAGGGTCACATCACTTTTCAGCCATTGCATTCAAAAGTTAGTCTAACTCCACATCCCAATCCCCCCCTCCCTCCCCAATCCTTTTTTTCTCCACCCATCCATCCATGCAACCGTGCATTGTCTCCTTCTGGACCCCACCCGTTCCTTTCCTCTCCCTCTCCCCATCCTCCCCTCCCCGTGTCGTTTCCTCTTCTTTTTCCCAAATTAAATTAACTTCCTCTTCCCCCCTCCCCCCCACAAATCCAAATAATCACTCCACACCCTTCACGATGCCCCCACCAAATCAAAAAAATCACCCCCGACTCCCTCCCTTTCCTTCACTATGATCAATCCTTCACCTCCCCACGTCCTTCCTCCCACCTTGGTCCATCCCACCTCCCCTCCACCTCAACATCCATCCCTCCATGTGTCCCTTCGTTGCGGCGCTGTAGCTGACAAGCAGCAGGGAGGTTCCAGCGGCGTGGTGATAGCCGTGGTGGTGTGTGTTCTGCTGCTCCTGCTGCTGGTGGCCCTCATCTACTTCCTGAACAAGAAGAGCAAGCTGCCCTGCGGCAAGAAGGACAAGAAGGAAATGTGAGTGGATGGGAGGGGAGGAGAGGGGAGGGGGATTAATGTTTGCAGTGATTACCTCATATGTCTCAATTATCAATCACAGCAGCATTTGCTTTTGGAAGTTTATTCTTTACGACAAAGAATGAAACGTTAGTCTCAAAATACTGATAAGAAAAGATTGAAAGTATGCTCCGGCATGTTGATGAACCGTCTGAGAAACAAAGAGAGAAAAATACTGAGCAAAAATAAAAGCATCAGTGAATCAGACATGAATAAAACCAACAGAATTAAATATTGAGCACCCTCCAAGCAGCTTAGAGAAAAAAGCATCCGAGTAAAGTTACAAATCAAGCTGCTTTATTTTCTCTGTCTGCCAGCTGCCTTTATTTCTCCATCTCTAATAATTAGACCAAGCAACATGTGACGGGCTTCCCCATCCTCTGAAGAAGCCATGTTTCCACAAAACAAACTATTGTTCTGGCATAATATACTTCTGCTCCCAGTTTGCATGCAGATCTCAGAGATCAGTAAATTAATTTCAACATTTTTTTTTTTTTTTTCTATTTTTTTTTTTTTTTTACCAGACTCTTCTTCTTGGCTTTAAAAAGCAAACTACACTGGTTTTTGAACAGCTTGTTACAACAGCTCCAATGAGAGGCAGGGAAAAATGGACAGATACTGACAACGATGTAATGTGATAATCATATAGTAACAATACAAATAAAGAATAGAAAATAATAGACCTTTGAACCTTTGGGTTTGCTGGTTTTTGCACAGTAGAATTTCACTTGGCTGTCCTAGCACTCTGAAAAACGGTTTCAGTCACAAAGTAACTTTACTCTTACTCTATAAACAGCTCACAGAGTCTGTAAAGCATCTGGAGTTAAATACAAGAAGAAGAAAGTTTAAGTTGCAGTTGTTGATGAAAGCGGCGCAGGGCTGTGAGATTCAGAGCTAGAGAAAAGTGCAGACTTCTGCAGCTGTCGAGAAGGAACTTCTCTGAAAAAGTAAACAAAAATGAGGTCAAGTGCAGACTTTGCTGGATAAAACTGCATATTTAGATCGTATTCATACACAGTTATGTATTTGACGGGCTTATCTACAACAGCTCTGCACAGTTATGGGTCTTACTCTCAGTTTTACCACCTGTGCACACAGGAGAGGTGACTATTCAAGTAGCTGTTGAGTAGATCCACATGAAATATGAACATTATTATTGCTTGAATTGCTTGTTTCTTTTTTTGACAATGTAAAAAACTTTAAATATTCACTTGAACTCTTTTTTTTTCTCTTCCTCTCTTAATTTAGTGCCAGCGGTGAGGTGAACAACGACATCGTGGTGGAGATGAAGACAGACAAAGCAAACGAAGAGGCCGGTCTTCTCAACAAGAGACCGTCCACAGAACAGGTCAGGACACGTGAGGGGTTAAAGGTCATTGAGCTCAGGACAGTTAGCTCAAGCGACTAAACTTTGCAATACTAGACCGATTTTCTGTTTTGATTGTTCCTAATTCATAAATCAGACAGTGAGTCAGACAGTGAGCAGGGACAAGTCAAGGATACTTCCTCGAGTGACGATGTAGTGAAGAAAAACAAAGTCGTTTCTGAACTGAAGGAGTCTCTCCGATAAAACAGCCTCCAGTTAGTCTCTGTGAGTGTTCAGGCCTGTGTGATGCAGATACAGACACTGGGCTCTATTCAAAGATTATCCACGTCTTGATTTTATCCAACTTCTCTGGTATATGCAGTTAAATGAGGTACATGCTGATCATTCCTGGGGGAATAAGCAATTAGTGGCAACTTAAAGCCACATAGTCGGATTTATTGCAGCACAACAAGGCGGGTAAAAATAGCCAAGAAGACAGAGACTTGCCTACGAAGATCCTTTCTAACAACAGTGATGAGTCTGACATAAATTTGGGTTTTACTGTCAGCAGAAACACCTTCAGACGAATCTGTCATGCTGATAACTTGTCTGGAGTCAGTTTTAGTTTAAAAAGCACACATTTTAAAAAGCTGCCCCTGCATCGGGCAGCTTGAAGGAGTGTGACTACAGAGTCGTCTGAAAATGTCATCAGAAATATAAAACATTTCATCATGAGTTTCATAGTGGAGGAATATATTATGTGAGTATAAAACAAGTTTATGTGAGTTTTATACGATTTCTAAAACTACTGACAGTAAACAGTCTGACATTTCAGGGTAGCGGGAAGATTTTGCAGACTCATTTCACTTTGCTTTTGAAACGGATGAAATGAAATGTTAAAGTTAGCCTCTCCGTGCACTAATGAGCAAGGCTTTTTCCCAGATGTCATTAAAAATTGTCTCCCTGTAAGCAGCTGCGAACCAACGTCAGTTTAAACTGTTCTCTGAATCAAATATTGGCCTGAACATTTCGTATTTCTGCGAATATTTCAGTACACCGAGTAAGTGGATAAAGAGGGTGAAGCTTTTAAAGCTTGTATTCTGTGAGTCCATGAGCAGATACACCGTCATCTACAGTCCATTTTAGATCCCAAACATAATTAGTTTTATATGTTAGATATAAAGTCAAGCTTTAAATAACAGATCACAGAAAGTTTATCAAGCATTGGGTTGAATATTTTTCACTCACATACTGACAAAATATTTATTTTCATGGCCTCAAGCTCTGAATGCAGATCTGTGAATATTCGCCATTATTTTGTATGAAGAAGTCAGGTTGTATAATCACCAGTTCAGAGCAAGTTTCTTGTTTGTTGCAAAAAAACAAACAGATCAGGACCAGCTGTTGTTTAATTCCTGAATAATCTGTGAGCAAATATGTAGAGGAGAGTGATTTTTATTCATAATGTCAAGATAATTCTTTGGGGAGCAATAGATCCATATTTACTATTTTTCTAATTAGCTTTATTGTGAATGTTGGAGGTTTTAAACTACAAGCATAATGCTATCTTTAATGGCTGCAAATTACTTACATTGTTTGTGTTTTTTCTCTCTTACAGTGATGCTGCAAGACAATGAACGAAACCGACAGAGGGATGAAGGGAAGGAGGAGTACAGTTATGAAGACAACAGGGCTATTTTTTATTTACTACACTAGACTGAAGGGGGGCAACAAGAGGTGGAGATGGGACATGGGTTAATTTTGGGGTGTGCACCATGTTTGGGATTGGTTTTGCTTGTTGAAGAACCTGTGTTGGACCTTTTTGGATGGAGTTTGTTTCCTCTACCTTTAAAGCTGGAGCTGCCATTAAAGATGAAACTCCATCCATCAACGCTACCACAGGTTTAATATTAAACATGGGTAAATGTGATATCACTGGATGCTAGCATAATCATCTTCTTAATCTCACTCCTAACTCACCAATCACATCCTGGGTCGACTCCTCAGCAGGGAAGAGCACAGTGAGGTGTGTGTAACACAATCCAACACACAGAGGCTGAATCTCTCTTATCTACCCCAAATGAAACGCAAAATGCCATTAAACCTCTGTGTGTCTCTGGAGTGTGTGTGTGCATACAGTGTAACACTGACGCTCTGCTCTGTCTGGGAGTCTGCACTTAAATTCTGTGCTCTCTGACGGGTATATTGGGATAAATCATCACACTGTTTCTGTTTTATTCACATCAGTAAAACGTGATATTTACATTCTCAATATTAAATCCCTCAGCGCACTGTTTGGCACACATTGCTATATCATTTCCACTCAAAGAAGCTCTATGCTAGCTTTTTTAGGACTGTTTTTTAAATACATTTTTGCCACCTGTGAATGTTGATGTACCTTTTATTTTCCAATATCCCTAATTAGCTTTCCTCAGAAACAGCCCAGATTCTTAATAACGCCAATCCTTTCTCCAAAATTGCTTGCCTTTTTTAAATCCAGCTTAAACGACTTCAAACAAGCAAGCTATTAGGTTGTACAAATTCGGTTTTTTTTGCCATTTCCAGCATACATGTATATTATGTGAGTACATTCACTTGTTTTTTCCACCCATGCGCTCTTTCTTGTCTCTGTAAATTCAAATACTGATTTCCCTGTCTGTCAAGCAGGAGGTGTACTGTGCTAATGTGAAGCTCAGTGTCTGTGGTGATTAAGCTACTGGTCTGGGACTCGTGATTGCAACCGTTTATTTTTTTGGCTCTTGAAGTTCACCACTCCTGGATGAAACCAGAACGCAGCAGTAACACCCAGAAAGCCCAATTATCATCACATTTCTCTGCAAAAGAGGTGGAATTGGCGAAATGGTCGACAATCTCAAACTGTGGCCTGCTGTGTTGTTCTGTCAGCCAAAAGGGTCTTTTAGGAGCTGCCACATAGTTATCACAGATCATCCTGATAGAAGAAGAAATCACGGGCACAGGTTCACTCTGGTTTGATCTAGCAGGGGGGGAAGGGTTTGGGAGGGATTGGGGAGTTGTCGCTGGAGTATGTGATGTGTTTTTTATTTCTACCAAATGAAAGTTTTGAGTGTCGCAGCACGAATGTTTCTGTGTTTAGGTACGCAATACTGGCATTTTTTTGTTCCTCCTCACACTGTCAAAGAGGCCAGAGAGCTCTGGTAGCGGATTGACGTGCTGTTTTACTTTGTTAAACACTGGAACCAATGGCCTTATTTTTTTGTTTTTGTCTTTTTTTGTTTTTTTTTCTAAAGGTCACCTCAAACCACTATCACTGCCCCCAAGGCTACTTTTCTAATGTCTGTCTACTGATCTTGCCATATTGACTGTTAGCAAACCTGTGATGGCAGGTGAAGATAGATGAGTGAACTCGGAGCATCGTTCTTTTTTTTTATTTCGATGTTTTATATAAAATTATTGTGATATAAATTTGTTTTTTAGAGAGGGGATTCTTAATTTTGGAACTACTGAGTTTTTCATTTTCCCTTGCTTTTCCACTCGCTCTGAGAGAAGAGAGATTTTTTTTTAAGGATTTTGTTTTCCAAGAAATTCTCAGTGCTTTACGTCTCTCTCTCTCTCTCTCTCTCTCTCTCTCTCTCAATACTGTATACTGTATATTTTGTGGTACGCTGTTGTGACCTCTGTGGTGTGTTGTTGTATCTTATGTTTTTTTTTTTTTTGTTCCAGCTGTGTAGAATTTATAATGAAAAAAAAAAACAACAAAACCAATCAAACCCTGTCCTCGCGGTGTTTTCATTCCCATTTTTGCAGCAGGCAATTTTCCAGAACTACTCCAGGGTTTTTTCTTTTTTGTGAGATCACAGTTATTTTTTTGTCATTACCACAAATGGGGCTAAATCTGTTTTGAAATTTGCTGCTTTTGTGCAGAAAAAGTTGAGCAAGATGAAGCATCCGCCCCTATAACAAGGCATCCAAAACAACTTACACATCAGTGAACAGCGTCTCTAAAAACTTCTCTCTCTGGACCAAAGAGTGAAAAAAAAATCTATCAGACATCAAATTGCTTTTTGGTGTAATTCCCTCATTCCTGTGTTTTTTCTTCTGTTCGTAGAAGATGACATCTAAATTGATTCCTAGTTTGCAGCAAAGTTTAATCTCTTTGATATAACCAGCATTATGTAAATTTTCCCCCACATTGATTGATCTTATGATTTGTTGTGACAGATCTGAAAAATCAAGGAAGCTCGTGTTTTGCTTCAATAAATGCTCCGGGGATACGCTCGCTGCCAACTTCATGATGCACTGTACTCACTTTCAATTTTTTAGAAATGAGCTGAAATGAAGCCATCAATCATCAGCAAATTGCTGTGCGGCTTTGTGCATAGATCAGTAACTGTAAGGAGGATGATTCTTATCGATGGCAGTCATAATCGTAATTGGTCATTTGCAAATTCATACATCAAAATCAAACTTTAATCGAGGGACCAGATGAAAGAGTTCCTCTAAGAATGTAAATGATTCTATGTTATTCTGCTCATCAGAATGATCCCTTCCCTCATATGTTACGCTAGCATAACAGTATGTTTTACCCTTGTACCTCTCTGTGATAAATAAAGCTCAGCACCATGCACGCACACAGACTCTGTGGTTATAGGGCCTATGAGGAACGCCGTCCTGCCGCACGCCCCCTTGCTCTGCTGCCACTCCATTAGGAAATTAAAAGCCTCCCATCAATGTGAGCTGAGGAATCAATCTGTGCTCTGAATACTAAGCAGCAAAGACAGAAGCAAGCACTCAGAGTGTATTGGCTGGTGTAAAGAATTAATGTGAAATGTAAATAAAAGTGCCAGTGACATCCCCTACAAATTTGACAGAGGAGTCAGGGTGAACGTATAAAACCTGAAACCCACATCTGTATACTCTTTTTTTACAACGTTTAACATGCACACAGAGAGAAAACAATGTCAAAAAGTTTGGGTTTTCCCAAGTAGAAAGACAAATAAATGCATCAGTGTATTATAAGTTTATATCAATTGGATCTTTCAATTAAGTAGGAGCGTTTAAAGAGATAATATCCATATAATGAGTTTATATTTTCGAAATTCAGCCTCAAATCAGATCCAGCTGGAAACAATTTGATTAAAAGTAGCTCAATTTTAAATCGAAGACAATATTATTAAGGCTAAATGGCAATAAACAGTTCTGCAGATACAGTTCCTGACTACCTGAAGACTGCCACCAGCAGAAGACAACAAACCAGGTATGTTGTGTTGACTTCCTCGATAAATTATCAAAATTCTAGTCTATTATGAAGATAGATGGTTGTGACACTAAATCAGTGAGGCTAGTATGATAATAAAACTGACTGCGTGGTTTAAAAAGCAGACAGCTACAGTCCAGATGTTAGCTAACCTTTAACTTCAAGGTGAACTTATTTGATGAGACACTGGCAAACAGGATTTATAGCTTCAAACCACAGGGTCAAAATGCTGTTTAAGAAACCAGGTGGTTCCTGAAAAGAAGTGTTGAAGTGAAGTTAGCAAGCAAGCTAACCAAGCGCTAAGAAACAGGACTTGTGAGTAACACTGAGTTATGAGCATTTTCTTCTGTTTGGTCAACGTTAGCTGCTAAATTTAAACTCTACTCCTTGCTAGGAGCTAACAGGTAACATTCATGCTTTTGTTTGTGTAACCCAGAATAATATTACTGTGAGGCTACTACCTTTCATTACTTCCCAAAAGTATCTGACCAGCTAAAGATGTTTTATCTAAAGCTAGCTAATATTAGCCGCTAGATGCTAACAAACCAAGTAAAATTAGCATCAAAGTAACAGAATAGCGTCTTGAGAAGAGTTGATTTGTGTTGTTTTGCTTATGAATCTTGCCTCTTTTAGAATCTCCTCTTTAGTTTGATCTCTGCCTCAGCGGTTGGTGTCTGAACGATAACCAGCAGTCTGATCAGACTAGACTTCAAATGTTTGATATGGATAAAGATTTTGCTGAGAAAGTGTGTTTTTCCAGTTCTTGTGTGCATGTTTGTGTGATCCTTTCATTTTGTTTTGCGCAGAATGAGAGGATCAGAGCTTTTCAGACCGGCTAACAATGAGGGGGGATTACTGTCATTCCTTGCAGTGTCCTTCCCTCCCTTCCTCCTGCTTCCCTCTGCCCCCTGTGAGTTTTCCTGCTGCCTCCATTGGGTTTAGTTACAGTAGCTTTAAACTGATTTAGCCATTTAGTGTCGGCCTATTGAGGGATGACAGCCACTGTCTGTCCCCTTTGCCTGCTGGACCCGGCTCTGGTGTCTACTCAGGAGTCCTTGGCTTGGATTCAGCTTAGTATACAGAGAAAGAGCGAGAGGAGAATAGACACATCCTTCTTCTTTTACAGTCAGTTAAGATGGAGGTTGAACAGGACTCTGGTGACAGCGGCTCTGACAATATGTACTCCATCTTCGTACATAATCAGCATATGCATGCTGTTCATACACAACCCCAAGAGCAATACGGCTGGAGGAAGACCAGCTTGGATGGGGACTAAAATTAGAGGGTTTTGTGAAGGAGTAAAGAGAGAGGGGAGGAGATAATTTACAGGGTGACTTTAAAAGGGGAAAGACAGATGGAGTGATCTTAAAATGCATTTAAGGGGGACGGGGAGGAAAGTAAATTGAAGGGGGGAGATATATGAAGAACAGGAGGTGAAGTGTCAGGATGAGAGAAAGGGAAAGCGGTGATTAGCGACGAAGGACGAAAACAGAAGATGCCTTGTTAAGATGTCGTAAATCTGCATTTGTGCTGAACAAACACAAGCTCTGAAGAAACGCAGGGGCTGATAAAGGAAGGGAAGAAGAAGAGGAAGGAGTTAGAGAGTGAAGGTCTTAGAGATAAAGACCGAAAGGTCTGTGTGATTAATTTTCTCTTTTAACTCAGTCCTGTAGGTTTAATATCCTGCGTGGCCTGAGCGTATCCACCGTTGGGAGCGTGATAAAGAGAGACGGTGCCGGTATATGCTCAGTAAGTGTCTGTGAGATGTATCTACCTGTGTAGGCCTCCATTTATTTGCTGCATTTCTGATAGTAATCTCACAGCATGGAAGGTTTGTTTCATCGATTGTATCAGCAAGTGTGCCATTAAGCCATGTGTGAGCTGATCCCCCACTGCCTAAGCTGTACTGAGTGTGTGAGGTGAGCCAGACTACCTGTGGGATGTTAAGTTATTGAGGCACAGCTTGGCGGGCTTTAATTTTAATTGGTTATGCTATTTTGTGTTGTATCCGCTGGAATTCAGAGGTGGGAGATAAATTTCCAGTGGGGCTTATGAGATTAACAGTGTGCAAAAAAAAACAAACAAACTATGTAGCATTGATGTGAAGAAGATAAAATGTGATGGCTGCGTTTGTGCGCTTCTCTCTCTAAGGGCTCGTTTGAATTAATGGAATGATGTGGTGTGTGAGTCAAACCGCAAAGGTCAAAGGTCATTCAATTTTCCATGACAGGCTTCGGTCAGTTCTGAGATTCAGTTAAACCATTAAAAGCACAAGGTCAGGACTATTTTTAACTACAACTGCTCAAACACTTAATCCAATAATGCTGCCAATTTATTCTGGGGATGTCCTTGCCTTTTAAAAATATAGAAGTCTCTGTGCGGTTTGAGTTGAGGGTTGTAGGAGAAAAACTAAAGGCTCCTAAACATAACGGAGGATTATATTTTATTTTATAGTTTTAAATTTTCAAGTCCATCATCTTCTGCATCCAACATTCAAAAACTACAAAGAAGGAGCTCAGTCAGAATCAGTTACCGTGCGAAAAAGTGTCTTTGTTTTTCAGACTTACTCTGATTTAGCTTCGTTCAAATATGGGGAAAACAGGGGCGAGCAAAAAGGAGTGTTTCCACACACACAATCATTAGAGTGAAAAGATATCTGAACTAGAGCTGCCAATATCTAATTTGTTGTTTCAACCATGTATAGACAACAATAACTAGTATTTAGCAAAATCATAATATGTGCAGGACTAAAGGTAACCCAGATCTAAGGTTACTAAACGGAGGCTACTTAAACACTGTGAGGAGGGAGAGGGACTGCACTCAGTGAGCATAGTTCACTCCATCCTTCAGCGTGGCCATAGAACGCTAAACTGAAAAGGTCTTTTGGTTATTAACTCTGTTATCAAGTCTTGATCCCATTGTGGTAACTAGCATGTAACATTCTTGTTTGTGTGTTCATTTGTTTATGTTTATGAGTTTGTTTGTCTGACCCTCCTAAACTCTGACATGCAGATGGCAAATGAGCAAGAGAAAAAGTTGCAGTCACGCAATAGTGCTTTAAAGGTCATTATAGTTCATTTAAGTTGGTGAAGGTTAGTCATCAATCTGAAAAACTCTTTATAGCTTTTGTCAGCCTCTGTGCAAGATCTTGCAGAGTATATCCTGTTGGCCACTTTTAAAGGGTTTACTTACCTGTACTGTTTGACGCCCTGGGGATTTCACTGCCTTTGAATTTGATTCAGTTTTAGGTTACTATTAAGACCTGTTTTGCTGTTTATATTACACTGTAAGAGCAAACTACTGTACATTTTCTTTTGAGTGGATGAAAATGAAAAGTTTAGGAATGCTTTTTTAATAACAGATTTTATCGCTGAAGCCTGGGAGGACAGACAGGAGACATTGTTTAAGAGTGAGCTGTAAAAGCAAAGTTGGCTTTGAAACGGCTCTGTAACCACTGCAGCTGTATTTCTGGTGTCCAGGGTTGGGCGCTTAATGTGCATGACCCTACTGAAC